GGAAAAGTGAGAAGAGAAGCGACGGGATTTGTGGTGTACCTAGCGGTGGTGCTGATCCTGGTCCAGATGTCGACCGTGGCTTGGCCGATGGTTTGAAGTCCAAAGTGAGAGAGTAAGTTGGGCGAGGATGAATGCCGTCCGTCCAGTCGAGTCCAGTCACAGCCGGGATCGGGTCAGATTGGGTAGGTGGGAGGGGGGAAGTTCTCCCGCGCCATTCCCGCAGTGACTTGCCAGGCTTACCGGGGCCAACCCTTTGCTTGGAGCCAGTGGTGGGACGACGAGACGCCTCCTTCCGTGATCCGGCGTCTGTCGCCCGTCATCCGTCGTCTCCATGTGCGTTATCGCAGCTGCGGAACCCACTTCAGAGCGATGGCTTTGGAGTTGTGTGCCTGGAAAGCGACATCTCGCAACTCTGGGTTCTCTGGAGCTGCTTTCCAAGTACTATACATACCATGGTACCGTGGTGCATAGTACATAGCAGTAACGAAAGAAGGGGTGCGGCCGGGGCTGTCCTATTCTTGTCAACGGGGGCAGCAGGCACCGCGGTTTGTACATGCACTCGCTACGTATCCACACGCCGGTGCTGGAGAAGAGCCGCCTCGGCATGATGTGCAAGCAGCAGTAGCAACGCCTCGCTCGTCCAACACCAATACGACTCTTGCCAACCCCGTCACCAAAGCCTGCGGCTGGCCCTCACGGCATGAGTGGCTAAATTATGATGGCCACAGTGGCTATCACCCGCCCAAGCCACAACGTCCTACAGGGCAGTTCCCTCGCTATAAAACCACCTAATATGTCATCTGTCCCATCTTCGACCATCCCATCCAGACATCGGTCGATTTATTCGCTCGTTGAACAATTGCGCATCCTACCACGTAACACGGTACAACGTCAGGCACGTTTACCTTCATACACATGACACACGCACCCATATCTGACCCTGCCTGCCCTGCTGGGTAGCCGAGTCCCATCAGCCCAGCCAGGGCCACCAAGGGGAAGCACCCTGGCAACAAAAATTAAAAGAGAGGATGGAAAGCCTGTCCGCACACGAGAGGAGGCAAAGGCCCAGAGAGCCCCAAGCAGCAAGATTGTGGATACCTGAGGACTGAGGGCCTTCATCCCCCTCAATGATGTGTCGTGAGAGGTCGTGAGAGGTCGTGAGAGAGAGAGAGAGTGTGTGTGTGTGTGTGTCTGTGTGTGTGCTCTAGATAGTACGTACCTCACATCTCCTTCTTTCCCAGGGTTTCCAATCATCCTCGAGGCAGGCAGGCAGACAGGCAGACAAGGACCAAATCAAGTGGTGGACGGTGGACGATGGACTGCACCGCACCTGCCTGCGAACGAGGCCGGAAGGTGTGGGTCTTGGGTTTGGCTGGAGGGGGCGGGTCCCAGGCCTCTCCCACCCACTTCAGGAAGCTGCAGATGTTTCAGCTGATGTCCACTCCTCTTGTCATTGGAGACGGGAATGGAACGTTGAGCGAAGAGACTCAGGAACATCTCCAACGGTCACCCCAGCTCCCGGCTCTTCCCCCCGCCCCTGCGCTGTCTCTGTTTGTTCAATCCTGTACCACTTGCAGCGGATAACCTCAGCATCCGGCCACCGGACATTGGACGAGAAAGAGAGAAAGAGAAAAAACCGAAGTAAAAAAAAGCCCCAACTGCGAGGTCCGCGAGACGGAGGCAAACAGCACCCCGCCCACCCCATCTGGATTGACAGAGGCAGCATGTCAAAAGACAGAACCGATGTCGACGTCCATATCCAAAAAGACGAAGACGAGGATGGAAGCCCGAGCAATACTGGCTCCCCCGATGCGGCGATGCGAGACTGTCGGGAATACCAAACGCCACTGGCTGGCTAACGGACGGAACGACTGAATACCTGACGTTTGCCTGACAGACGCTCAAGCTTTTGCTCTGCTTGACACAAGAAAGACGCCTCATGAGTGTGTCTCCTCATGTCCTGCTGCCATCTCCAACCCTGTCCGCTGCCGGCTGCTGCAGCAAAGTGTCATCGCATCGCCCCGTCATCGCCCATCATCGGGTTCGGCGATCAACAAATGCACACTAGCCAGCTGGTCGCTGACTGACGACTAATTAGCTTCGTCTCGCGCCCTTTGGTTTTTTTTTTCTGGTTTTTTTCTTAATCCCCAGTTTGCCTCGCTAACGAAAGTCGGTGAGCACAGCCATCCATCACACACGTTGCAAAGATGCGCCGGGTCGTGGCCCAGCCCACCTACTAAGGACGATGGACGCCACATAGCGCCTTTCCGCAGCCTCAAGTAAGGTGGTTTGGGTAGCAGCTAAGGTGCCATGACCTTGGCTTCCGCGAGAAGATGGGTTGATGGAGAGGGATGCGACGTAAACTCGGCCCACGGAAGCTTGGGTCAACAAGGCCTAGCTCCAGGGCGCACCTGGAAACCATCAGCGCCAACGCCGGCTTCTCTTCTCCTGGACTCTTCTCCCTCCCCCGTTCCCACAACCAACAGGCTAGAATGCTGACCACCCGGCTGCCCTAAGACGCCGTCAAACCCGTACAGACGACACGTCTTCGTCTGAGGGGCTTGTTTAGGCTTGTTTAGTGGATACTGTTGCTTAGCCCCTTAACATTCGATCCCTTTCCCTCTCTCTCTCTCTCTCTTTCTCATTCCCTTCTTCTCGGGCCCGAAACTGCGCCGGCTTGACAGCTACGGACGAAACGATACGCAACTGTCTCCAGGCCCCCCCTCTGGCGGCAGACCAGCCCACCAAGCCAGGCCATCCTCTGACAAGGTCTGCTACAGGGCGACATCCCTGCGTCGATCATCTTGAGCGACATCTTCACGAGCTCGCGCCCTCGGACCCTGGTCTCGAGTGATTTACAATGGTTTCATCTCAACTTTCACCCTTTGCACTAACACGATTATGATACGAAAAAAGACTCGGGTCCTGCTCCTGTGCCACTCACCCAAGCCTTCCTGTCACTTGTCGCTGTCATTTGCCAGCACGAGCTTCACACCCACTCAGGTTCTGTCCCTCGCCATCCATGCCTCGGAGATCTTTCTGGTGGCCCCAAGAGTTCGAACGATGAGGGGACGAGGAGCGTTCTTCAGCGGCCTGTTCCTTGCGACTACGACGCTGGAAGCGACGTGGACCGACGCCGTCCGAAATTTCGCACAGGGCCATGCACGCCCAGCGACAGCAGGCCCGCCAGCTCCTCGAATCACCCAATATTTCGTTGGACCGGCGCGCCCGCAATGCACCAGTACGTGCGAGCGGTCGGCAGAGGCGTGTCAGGTGCCTGCAGTGGGAGGCCGCTAACATTAAGGTTAACCAACCTTGGTCTGGTTGCGCATGGCCTTCTGCAAACTGTTCACGTAGTCGGCTCTGTCCAATGCATCCACCCAATTCTTCAACAGCGGCTATGCGACGCCCCTCGAAGGCTTTGAATCGTGTCACCAAGCCATTGAAAACAAACGTGTTTGAAGGCCTCAGATGCCATTGAGGCTGATGGCCACGGCGCGGTGCGTGTTCGGTTTCTGCCCCCATCCTTTCATGCACGACACCATGATCAACTCATGTTTTGCTACGGTCTTCCCAGTCCCTCGAGGAGAATGTGGCCCCCAGCCGCCAGCCTGCCCACACATTCGCGAGTCAGGCGACCGTCCGTGGTGATGGGCCGAATGCGCGGGCAAGCGAACTCGATCTACCGGACCGCCGTCGGTCAGATTCAGCCGCTATCTCATCCTGCCCAAGATCCTCAAATTTCCGTCCACGCCTTGAGACAAAAGTAGCTGCCCAATATAGATGGCTGAGAGCTTCTGTTGAGGCCCGTGGGCAACATGTGTGTCTGCCTAGGCAACGTTGTTTGTTTCATTCCATTTCGTATTCTGGAAGCCGAGGCTACCTCGCTAAGCCATCTGGACAGATTGCGGTCGCTTGAGACAAAAACAACGTCGACTTTCTCTCACCGAGTCAGTTGTTGATTATGTCGTAGCGTCGCCGTGCGTCGCCAACAACGGTTCCGTAGGCCGTCCGCTACCCACCCCTTCAGACTTTCTTCCTTGCCATTGCGCCTTGCGCCAACCGACCGAGGACTTCAGACGCGGTGGACAATTGTAATCCGGTCTCGCCGTCGGTCTTTCGTCGCTTTCCCATACGGCGTTAAACTCTTACATGCCGTATCGTCCGATGACTGAACCAGAGAATTGAGTGCCGGGCTTTATGGAGTAAGAGAAGAAGGGTGAGTCTGATCGCGCACCTTTATACCTGCGCGCTCGACCTTGGCTCGCTCGACCTTGGCTGCTTGGCTCTCACTCTCGCATCGGCGGCCGGGGCGAGCTGGGTCACGGCCCCTTCGGTGACGGTCTGAACTTTGAATCAGCGCAGAAGAGGCGAAAGCCAGAAATGTGTATTCCACTGGTGTCATTTACAGCTTGCGAGATGACGGTGGTGGCTTGGCCCGTGAGATGATAAAGTGCCAAATCCGAATAAGACATGACAAGTTTGCCTTTTGCGGCCTTGGAACGCCGAGAGCTCCCGAGGGCTAGATCGGCAGGTCCCCGGGTCCGGAACCAACGCTCCGCTTTTTGCTTTCCGAGACCTACCATCACGACGGAGCGGCGGCCGCGGGCTCCTGGGATAACTTGAGGATCGCACGCCGTACCGGCAGCCTTCTTGGCAACTTTTGGTTTCTTTTTCCTTGAGCTCGAAGGATTTATCAATAGTGCTTTGCAGGATTTCCTCATACAGCCTAATTTGATTCGAGGTAATTGTGGCATTGTCATCGTTGCGTTTTTATTGGTACAGCCGATGGGATAAGGAAATAACTAGGAAGATCGTCTCACGTGAGATTTTGGAGTAGAAGAGATTGAGACAATCTAACAAGAAAAAGTTTATTAACGATAACGAGGTGCTGGTAGAGCTGTAAAGACCCGCGATGCATTCTCCCTACGTGACTATGCAAACGTGAACCTGTTCGGCATCACGGCCGTCGTCCGCAGCTGACTATTTTGACGTCCACCATGTCCAACGGGAAGCAAAGCGAGGCGACGAGCGTCCTTGACGACCCCGGCGCCGCCGCCGACACGGCGGCCCAGATGCGCCTCAACGTCGTCATCATGTTCATGGGCTCGCGCGGCGACCTCCAGCCGTCGCTGGCGATCGCCAAGCTGCTCCAGCGGCGCCACGGCCACCGCGTGCGAATCGCGAGCCACCCGCCGTACAAGGCCGCCGTCGAGGCCGCGGGCGTCAGGTTCCACTCGATCGGCCGGACGGATATCAAGGCCATGATGGAGAGGCGATTGCTGCCGCGCGCGGAGCTGAACAAGCTCGTGCCGGTGATCCGGGAGGACTTCCGGGAGATGGGGGAGAGGTGGTGGGGGGCCTGCGTCGACGACCCGAAGGAGAGGAGGAGGGCGATGGAGGCGCAGCCGGGGAGAGGGGGCCTTTGTGGCGGACCTGATCATGTCGACGATGCATGTCTATAACCAGACGTCCGCGGCGGCGCGGCTGGGGGTGCCGCTGCACCTTTTCGGGATGAACCAGAGGATCTACTCCAAGGAGGTCCCGCATTCGCAGGCAGGGTGGGCGCTGAAGAAGCCGAGTCGGGCGAAGAATGTATTTTCGTGGTGGATCCAGGATCTGATGTGAGTCTTTGCTCTTCACTCCTCTTCTGATTCCAGGGAGCGGGAACGGGGTGGGAAGGGGTCCGAAGGACACGCAGAGCTGACCGCGACGACAGGTTTCTCCAGGCGATGAAGTCCGTCATCAACGACGTCCGGATCAACGTCATGGGACTCGAGGCCATGTCTCCCGCCTGGTGGCTGAGCCAGTACAACCGGATGGGCGTTCCCTGCACGTACCTCTGGTCGCCGCTGCTGCTGCCGAAGCCGACGGACTGGCCGGATAATGTAAATGTCTCGGGGTTCGTCTTCGACGACGCGCCCGAGGGGTACGCGCCGCCTGCGGAGCTGTTGCGGTTCCTGCAGGCCGAGGAGACGCCGCCGGTGTACATTGGGTTCGGGAGCATGTCGTTTGCGGACGCGCAGGAGGTCTTTGAGGGCATCTTTGAGGCGGTGCAGAGGGTCGGCGTCAGGGCCGTTGTGGGCAAGGGGTGGGCGAGCCTGGACACGGAGGAGGTCAGCAAGGGGGCCGGCGGCGATGACGGGAGGCGGGACATGTCACACGTCTGCATCGTCGACGAGGCGCCGCACGCGTGGCTGTTCCCGCGGGTCAGGGCCGTGGTGTGCCACGGCGGGAGCGGGACCACGGCGATGGCGCTGCGGAGCGGACGGCCCACCCTCGTGGTGCCCGTCGCCGGGGACCAGCCGTTCTGGGGCACAAGGGTGTCTGCTGCCGGGTGCGGGCCCGAGGCCGGGTTTACCATCGCGGAGATTACCGGGGAAAAGTTTGAGGAGAGGTTGCGGGAGCTGCTCAAGCCGGAGTATGCTGCCGCCGCAGAGAGGTTTGCGGAGGAGGTGAGGGGGGAGAGGCCTGGGGAGGAAGTCTGCGTGGACCAGGTCGTGGAGACGTTGAGCGTGTACGAGAGAGAGGGGAGGTGTGTTGTCTATGACGGACGGCCTGCGGTCTGGAGGACGGCGGGAGGGCAGAAGCTGTCTGCTGTTGCGGCGCACGTTCTCGTCGAAAACGGTAGAGTGAGGAGCGAAGAGCTGAGGGCGTTGGATCTGGTCAAGTGGCCCGACCTGGTGAGTCCCGGGGATCCGGTTACTGGGCTGGTTCTGGGGATTGGGCAGGCTTTCGGGAGTATTGTGGAGGATGGGAAAGGAGGGCACTGGGGAAAGCTGGGGCTGCACATACTGAGAGGTGAGTTGTGCCGTCCACTCTGGCGCTGATTGATGTGCTGACGAATCCATCTTCTCTAGTGCCCCTGACGATCGTCGCCGCCCTCACGTTCGGCGTCTTCAACCTCCTCGACTTCATCCTCTACAAGCTCGCGTCGCCGTTTGAGCCAAAGCTCTACGCGAGCAACCCGCGGCTATACACATATCCCCAGATGCTCCTCTTCCTCGTCTCCGCCCCATTTTTCGAGCTCGCATCCGTCGGTACTCGGCCGCTAGTCTTGGCACGGAAGAAGCGAAGCATACCGCGCGTGGTCCTGGAGATACCTCTGGCAATCATCAGGACGTTGCTGGCCCTGCTTAATGTCGTTGCGGGGTTGGTGGGTATCACGCTGAGGCATCTCGAGATTGCTTGTGCGAGGGCAATGGGCGAGAGGCCGAAGCGGGACGTTGTTGCCGAGGCGAGGGTGAGGCAGGGGGGGGTTGAAGCGGAGGGGCTGAGGACTGAGGGAGCTGAGACGGGGAGGGATTTGATTGGGGATATTGTTAGTAGGTGGGATGAAAGGAAGAAGACTTGAGCGTTCCGTTTTCCTTATCTTATAGATATCTGTTGTTCTGCGTGCTTCGTAGGGAGAAGGGGTACTAGGTTGTGACATGGAAGCATGACCGCACGGCTAGGATTTAATGTATCAATGGAAGACATTTCTCCGTCAACACGACGCCTTTGAGTCCACCCGAACCTCCCACTGACATGATCTCCATTCGGTTACACGGCGGCAGTCCGTTATACGTCACGCAAGGATGTGATGTGTATTCTCCGATACATACGTCGTGCCCTGGTATCCCAAGTCCTGCAGGCAGCCGTTCCGGGCCACATCGACGTCCCACAACCACAGCCCGTGTCGTGGTCACCAGCACGGCTACACCCCATCGGGTTCGGGATGTTACCTGCCATGTGGCTTGAAACTGGGCTATGTTACACGATCGGTGTAGGATACGGATGGTCTGGGGAGCATTGATCGTATCCAGCCTCTGCGCGAACCGTTACCTGACTTTCGAATGTGTGCAATAGGTACTCAGGGGTGGGTTCTTTACGATGATGTTATGCCGATCGCAGGACCGATTGGTCGTGAATTCCTGTCATGGGATAGCATCTGGAGATGGAACTATTGTGCGCGGTGAGTGTTGGCGTCTAAACCATTAAGCGGCAGGCTGTGTCTGTCAACCATATCAGCTGTTCGTAGCCTCCGAGGGGGGTCATAAAATGCTGTGAAGCTTTCATCCCGCCTTCACCAAGCCAGACAGTAGTCATTCTGCAGCACACAAGAGATGGATACGTTTCGTTGACGTTAATACTATTGATTCCACTGACTAAAGAATGAACAAGTGTTGTATGACAAAAGCATACCAATATAAGAAAACGCTTGTCATCAGACGCAACAGAGGTAGTCACATCCGCCCTGGAATCAGCGTTCTTGAAAGAGAGCGGGGCTGAGATCCAGAGATACCACGACTCGGCCGTGTACAAGTAATCAATTGGGCGTCGGGTCCGAGGATAAGGGTGTAACTTTGACAAGTCTGCTTGTTATGCGATGGTTAGCTTATGTGTTCTGATCCGGAAGCAGACTTTAGAACTAGTGTTCATCTGCCAAATTTTAAGTAATGTGAAACGGATATAAACCATGTAGGTTTCCTCGTGTAATAGAACGTTTGGTCAACTAAGCAGCTTTCGCAAGTAAGTTCCCCGCAGAAGATAATAGTGTTCCTTTTGCGCTAAATTTTTGAGGGGTCTGAAAATTACTCTTACAGGATTACCTTTCAAACACATTGTCTTAAATCTTGACCTGGATGCCCGTCCAAATCTTTGATGTTAGTTTAATCAGATTGGAATACCTTCGAGATAATCAGAGACTGAGGCAAACAATATGCGCTCCCTGGAGGCTCGCTTCGCCCATATGTGAGTATCCGATAGAAGGTTTGTCTCCCGGGCTGTTCTCGTTGAATCTCGGTCAGATAAACGCATTCAAGATCGAGTATCATGTGGATTAACTTTCCTTGCAAATTGACTTTCCTATTTTCGGATTGTAAGAAGATTTATAGGGATAGCAATTTTGTCAAGGCTTCACAACCTTCCGCCACTAAATTAAGCACCATAGCCTTTGATTGCATAATGCTAAGAATTATGCTTCTTCAAATATAGAGCTTGTACATGTCATTCTGGCAAACACTGTGCCTAATAGTGCGACAAGGTCAGCACAGAAAAGTGCTGCTGTAGTTTATGATTGCGAATATCATCTAGAAGGAGTAACCAGTGACCTGTAGTTATCAAACCAATCTCAATTTTCTTATAGCGGGTGCGGTGAATTTAGTAATTGCAGAAGTGATGCCAATCTCTGTTCCCGTCTAACCCATCTTATGCCATACCACGACTAGAGAAGTGCAAGGATGGCCGTGAGCGCAATTGTGAATTCTCTTCTGGACTTAAATAAGTAAACGAAAACGATTCTTAGAATAGAAATACCAGCTGGGTTGCAATTACTTGTGTTATGTGGGACCTGATAAAATATGTCATCAGAGTGCCTTGAGCAGAGTCTATGCCTCTATGCTTCTTGCCATTAGCACGTTTCCACACCAGTAACTGGCTGGTTCAATAGAAAGCGTATCAATAATCAATAAAAATACGTGAACTGCAAGGGGTTTCCATGGTTCTATAAACCGACGTTGTCTTTCGTTGCATCAAGCTTTGTCGTAGGGTTGTCCGCTTAGAGGGGTTATGCATGTAGCAGATCCCTGAGGCACCCCACCTACCATTTTCGGTCATGACGCCGGCAGTGCTTAACGCGACTTCATGCAATCCACGCGACTGTCATTCCATCCTTCATCGCCAGCAGTGCTACTTTCACACAGTCTACCGCCAACATCATCGCCTTGCCTGATTATACGCATCCGTAGAACAAACTACGCGATGAACAAAACTCTATCTGTCTTAGAATCCCTACGACGACGACGCGGTCCTTTCGGCTGACCTCGGCTGACCTCCATGACGCAACCACCACCTTCTGTCCGCATTTCATTCCTTGTTCCATGGCCCTATTGCTGACTTCCTTTCCTCGACAGACACCCACGCCTCGCCGTTTTCTTCTGTCCAAGCGACCGCCGGCATCGCAACAGCAGACCCCTGGCAGCGGACCTCCAGTCTTCGCCGGTAGCCAGCGCTTCCAGACGACACCGCGCTTCGCCCCTCCCTCAGCAACACAGCGACCGCCTTCGACACCTGTGTTTCCAGGGAGTTTGCGACCCTCCAGGACGAGGGACCCTATCCATGATGCTTTGGACAGCTCTCCGACGGACGCACCTGTCTCTGCGACGCGACCAGCACTAGCGACCGGGACTAAGCGGCAGAACAACAGGATTGAGATCGACTCGGATATCGAGAGCGACTCACAATATGAGCAAGAGGGGATTCGATTACCACCGCCTACCTTTGTAGCAAACGACTCGATCGAGATTGAATCTGAGCCACCTAGCGTGTCGCACAGTGAGGTCGACGAGAGAACACCGAAGAGGAGACGAATATCAATCTCACCGGCGCCGACATGGCACGACGATGCCCAGGAGGATGTGGCTATGAGTTCCCAAGATGGGAATGCTATCAAAGACTACGAAGATGAGTACGTCGATGAGGAATTGCCCGACGCTGAAGACAAACCTACAACCGATTTCACTGCGCCATCTATGGATGCGGAAGACCTGAGCATTCCATTTCGCCACGATGGAGACATGCCGAAAACGCAGCCGACCTTCCGCCGAGCACCACGCTTCAAAGTTTCGGAAGCCGAAGCTTCTCGCCAAGAAGGTCTACCAGAAGCCTTCTCGCCGCAGAGACGTGGGGCAAAGTACGTGCCGGGAGGACTTGCAGCGGAATTACAGACTTGGCTCGCAGAAGTAAAGGGCTGGGCCGGCGGCGACAGACCAGCAGACCTGGTCATGACGATCATTATTGACGAGTTGCGCGCTGGAAACAGGATGTACATCGTCAGGGGACGGAGGATTGTGGGCGATGGGGATGCGAGCGAAGAGATCGCCGCGCGGCTGATGTTGGCTGGCGAGGGGAGGCTGACTGGATTAGGGCAGAAAGCTGCCGTTATTGTGGGAAGTACAGTTGCGATATCGCAGCCTGCGTGGGAAGTAGAGCTCGAAGGGACGCGGTGGATTGTCGCGTGCGACTGGGCGGTCTTATAGACGAGGATTTATCTGATGTTCACATGTGCGCTGGTTTCAATAAATCAGTAAGAGCCAGCTGGCAAACCGATACGGCAGATCAAGTCTGCAGTGGTGTCATGTATGCCCTGACATTGAACAACCCGCCAATCGTGAGCCAGTTTGTGGCCCATAGGCACATTAGTTTTTGCCCGACTACGCCATCATTTCTTTTGCAGATTGCTCTGGCAGTCAGATTGATGGCTGGTGGCAGCTGTGAGGTGTTGTAGAATAGCCAGTACTCTAGTGACTAGGAAGGCAAATTGAGTTGATTGCATGGGGGATTCTAGAGTTGTCCATCTAATTTCATTCACCAGATGCCTGCAACATTTGGGTGGGTTCTGCAACATCGGGCTTCGTTGGTGATGAGATTCCACTGGACTCAAATACTAACGTTGAACAACGAATTTTTTTCAATTAGGTTCCATTCAAGACCATCCTGCAATGAGCACTAATTATCACATATCATGGATTAGAGCCCTTTCAATATTGTTGTTTCCATTATCCTTCCAACGTCCTCTGGACGCGCATCGCTTGATGCATAAACTGGCTAGGTGCACAGTCAACTCTTGCCATGTCTCATTCCAGTGAGCTCATTCGCCAAAAAGTAACCTGCTGTCCCACAAATCTCACCAGATCATCTCGCGTCAGCCAACGCGGTAGCTGCAAGCTGCTGCTAACGACCTGAACGTCAATCGAGAATTCCCCTACCCGAAGGCTTGATATGCATTGCGTCCAAGGCAATGTCATCCGAAAAGCCTTTTAAACCTTCAACATTATGACGTGGCTGGCACTCCAACCAGCCGCCTTCGCGCGGGCGTCGGCAGGCCTGACTTGTCGGCCGGGTCTGCGACTCTACTCGGCCACCGCCGGCGCCGGCATCTCGGACCCGCTCCGGATCCTCTTCTGCGGCTCCGACGACTTCAGCTGCGCGGCGTTGGACGCCCTCAACGCTGAAAAGAAGCGCAATCCCGGACTGATCGAGTCGCTTGACGTTGTCGTTCGACCGGGTAAGCTGTCGGGAAGAGGGATGAAGAAGATTCGCGAGGGTAAGTGTCTCGACTCAAATATCCTCTACACAAGCACGAGTGAGTGGTGATAGGACTCGAGCTGATGCTGCGTACTAGTGCCACTAAAGAGCCTTGCTGAGAAGCTCGAGTTGCCGATTCACGAGAGGGACACATTTACCGGGTGGCAGGTACCGTCTCCTAGCCCTCCAATCACTTACATTTGTACTGATGCACACAGCCGCATAACGACATCAACCTCATCATCGCCGTCTCCTTTGGTCTCTTCGTGCCACCAAGGCTACTGAACCTGGCCAAATACGGTGGGCTCAACGTTCATCCATCTCTTCTCCCAGAGTAAACAGCTTGTCACACCACACCCTGAACATGTCGTAGTTGACACCACTTTTAGCTTCCGCGGCCCTGCACCGCTTCAACACACCCTCCTACAGCGCCGCACCCATACTGGCATAACCCTCCAAACTCTGCACCATAAGTCATTCGACCACGGCACTGTTCTCTCCCAGACGCCACTTCCGGGGATCCCGATCCCTGACAACTGCACAACTCAAGGCTTACACGACATCGTCACTCCGCTCGCCGCTGAGATTCTCGTCGACGGCCTGCGGAGGGGACTACACGCCCCCCGTTGAAAGATGTCGGTTGGCAGCCTAACGAAGAGGAACGGCAACAACTCAGCCACGCACCCAAGGTAAAAAACCATGACCGCCAAATGAACTGGCTCAAGTGGACCGCCGACGACGTCTTACTGCGCCAGCGTGTACTGGGACCAGTTTGGTGCTCGGCGTACCACCACGAAAGTCGGATAATCATGAGGGTCAAGTTTGGTGATGCCAAGGTCATCGAGCGTCCTGACCGGATCAACCAATACTACAGACGATGCTCCCTACGCAAGAAGGGGCAACTTGCTGCTGAGGATGTTCCCAAGGAAGATCAGGATGTCAAGGAAATTTCCTGGATGTGGCAGCCGGAAGGCAAGACCCAGGATCGAGAGTCGTGGGTGGCTCACCGTACCCCATTCTTTGAGGACGAGGACGGGAAAAGCATCCTGATCGCCACTGCTGGTGACAGTTGTCTCAAGCTTTCGACGATCACCGTTGAAGGATCACGGTCGAAGCCTGCAGTCTCGGCGATCAGTGGCTTTAGCAAAGCTGTCAAGGCCGAGGATGACGAGAGCAATGGACCAGGTGGAATGGGCAATGGATGGGGGAGTTCAATAGCGGGGGCCCTCGCACTAGCCATATTCGACATCTAAAGGGGGTTTGAGGAAGAGTGAGTTGGTGTCATTTTGTGCTATTAACGTGTACCATACCAGTGCACAATATCCCATCTTAGCAACTGACGGACGCCAGTGTACTAAGTAGTGTATATTATGAGGATACTCTTCTTAAAGTTGCACGGCCGAATAACTATGCTCTCCGAGGCAATCCCCAAGGCCGTATGATACTTCGAAAGCTCCTCGTCTCCAAGATTTGGCGCATACTCAAGTCATTGGCTACTCCCCAAAAGGCGTTTGGCCAACCCGAAATATTCATCTAGTTAGTTCGAAATCAATCATCATAAGCCAGAGGCAGGCACTAATGCGTCGTACCGGGTCTTCTCAAGGGAAATCTCATGCCTTTAACCATTCTCGTGAACCTGATATGTCGGCACATTGCCTCTTCTCATAACCAACACCACATTCGGCGGATTCTTGATTTTCCCATCTACATACGGCAGGAGTGATACGGAGAAGCTTGCATCTCGAGCGACGGCTCCTTCCTCGACAGCACTTTTCGTCTCGCGACCCAAACGGGAAGGCTTGCCCGAAACTCGTATCTTTTCCTTCTCTCTTTTCCACAACGCCCATCTATAGCATTCTATCTCGTCGTTTCCTTTTTGTTCGCCCTTCACCTTTTCGCCAACACCCACGGACCTTGGCTTATGTCTTCTGCCAGGTACATCTACCACTTTCTTTATTATCTTTGAAAAACAACCATCAGTAGTTATACTTGACACTGACGATTTCAGCAAATTCTTCCTTGATCCCCCAATCACTCAGCCGACATAACTTCCACCGCAGCCAGCATTGAGTGCACCAAGGGCATCATGGATTTTCTCGAGACAGTGGACACTACCGTCGCCCAGTTCAATCACTTCTCAGGAGAAGAATCACCTCTTGTTGTTCGCCATTTGCTCGGCGAGGGATATTCCGCAGGAATTAAGACCCTCGAGGTCAGGTCAAGGGAGCAAGAGAAAGAGGAGGCAAATGACAAATGCCCTCCTGTGGCTCAGGAGATCGACCAATCCACGCTGCAGTGCGAGGCATCTGCCACAGTCTCGACAGCCAAACAGCCAAGCCTCTTCAAGAACCAAACTCCCGTACAGCTGGAGATACCCAAGACCCCAGTCTTCCGTCAATCAGCGGCCCCGACGCCGGGTCAGGAATACTTTGCGGACACGCCCCCCAGTCGTACTCCTCGAACCCCTCCGATGCTGCGATCGAGTGCGCCATCTTTAAGTGACTACTCAGAGACGGTCAGGAGCCAATCTTATGCTCAACAAGACAACCATGTTCAACCGAACAAGTCTAAAGGTCCGGGATTGAGCAGCAACGAGAAGTCTCCAGCGCAAGTGCCCCTACTCCGCACACCTCTGGTACCTCGTTCGAACGCCCTTAGCTGGAGTGAGCCCTCACAATCGGCAAGAAGTCAATTGTACAATCAAGAAATCACCACCATACGCTCGGGCAACTCCTCCGATTCGAGAGACTTCAATGTGAGCTCGTTCAACCTTTCGCCTGAGGTCAAACAGTTTCAGAGCACTGCTTCAGATGGTCCAGATGAGCTGCACCTTGTCAACATGCGAGGCCTTTCCTGGTCGCCAATGACATCACCTCCAGCATCTCCGCTGGCACCAATCATCGACATGATTGATGAGGACGTCGTTTCTACTCAGATCCCTTCTATTCAGCCTGCTTCATCAGTGGCATGTCAGACACCTAACGAAATTTCCGAGACGACCGTAAAGCATCGAGGTCTTAACAATTGTCCACCTCGCACTCCTCCTCCTCGGGTATCCGGCAAAACAAATCCCCGGACTTCCCACCGCCGGACCAAGGGACAGAATGGACGGGTTCGCAGCTATCGACCTCGTCAACGAGAAGCTTCAACGCGCTGGTCGCCGGTTGCACCGTGGTCTCCCGGTCGGAAATTGTCGTTCAATTACGACGTGCAACAGAGGATCGCTGCCGCCACTCGCGGCACACGCATTAACAATGGACTCCTCAACGCCACCGTTGACTATCTCGATATCTAAATACCGTTTTGGCGTTGAGCAGATTTTGGGATGCAAATAAATGCATTCGAACTTGCTTGCAAACCTGATACATTGCAACGGTACGTTCCAAATTGTGTTCCAGTCGACCTATCGCAGTCCCTGACTTGCAGTTTTAGTCACTTGCAGGTGCCTATCAAGCTGTATACGTGGCCGACCAGGGACGGCATCTCTCATATCTGCCACCACTTATCTCTAAGCTGATTGGTTTTCTTTCCTTCATTTGGCTAGTGCCCTATTCATGTCTCTTTTCGCTCACAGTTCTAATTTCGAATCCAATGAGCTTTCGTATTTTGCTGCTTAAGTCGCTTTCCACATCGTCCTTCGGTGTGGGTCAGTTGCCCCCCCATCTTGACTCTTAAACACGAGCTGTCTCAAAGATCGGGCTCAAGCCAATGTCCTTCACAACAAGACGCGCGACCATTTCAAGAGATACAGAGATCTAAGCCATACACTAGGAAATCAGAGGCGTTGTTGGAATTGAACTGGATTGAATTGGGCGGTGGGACGCAGAGCAGATCACATTCCAGTGAACTGGTAACGACTGAACTTTTCATATTTTCTCTTTGCTCTACCAACATATTACCCTTGAGCCACTCATTACTCATGAATATGATCATAGTTTGGAGCCCGTCTAACGTAAGACTAACCCTTGTCAGGTCCCCGCCGAGCCATCTGAATGAGTGAAACACTAAGATGTATTCCCCCCCCCAGCTAATCGACTGTGGTTTTGTACAAGACGCGCACATGCACCAACATTGCAGCGAATGGTATCGGTCGCTTTCTCGTTATCTACTCCAGACCGACGCCCCGATAGGGCCAGCGAACAAGTTCCAGCTCAAAACTGGCAGCCACCTTACATCAGCAAGCCGACAACAACGCTGACGACGGCAGCCAGGCTGAGAGCACCGGCAGCTCTGACACCGGCGGCGCCGCTGTCGATGCCGTTCTGGCTGTTGTTGGTGCCGCCCTTGCCACCCTTGCCGGCCTTGAGTTGCTGGCAAACACCCATGAGCGTTGAGTTGTTCATCATCTCGTTGAGCTTGGCCTCCTTCTTGGCGGCCTTGGCCTTGAAGTTCTCAATCTTGGTGGTGTTACCGTTGAACTTCTCGTTCAAGGCGGTGTCGTTCTTTGAGAGAGCAATGAGCTTGCTGCAGTTGGTGTGGTTAGTCAACGTCCATTGCAGGGTTGTGGCTAGCGCCTTAGGGGAACTCACTTCAGCTTGTTCATCATCTTGCACTCCCCCTTGGTGGTTTGTGCCGAGCAGTACTGAAGAAGAGTCTGGTTTCCCTGCAGTTCGGTGAGCTTGGCCATGCCCTTCTGGGCCCACTGCTTGAGCTTGTCGGCCTTGGTAGCGTTGTTCTTGGTGACTTCGTTCAGGGCAGTCTCATTGGCAACCAGCTTTTGCAGCTTGTCCATGCGGTTCATGAAGCGGCACTGTCCGTTCTCTTGCTGAACGGCACGGATCTGGTCGCAAGTTGTCATCAAGGTCGCATTTTGCTTGGCCTGGTCGATCAAGGGCTGGACCTCAGCCGCCTTCTTCTTAATGGATTCGATCTTCGTGGCGTTGTTGTTCGTAAGCTCTGCCAGGAGAGTATCGTTGCTGGCAATCTTGACCAACTTTTCTTCCTTCAGGAAGCGCTTGCACTGAGCCTCTGTCGAGTTGCGGTCGCCTCCGTTGTGGTCCTTGGCCAGGGCCGTGAGGGACAGGAGGGGCACGAGGAGGAATGAAAGCTGCATAGTGGCGGCTGATGAGAGGAACTGTTATGCGCTGGTGTTGTTGAAGAAAAAGGCGGTCCGGCCGCAGTAAGGAAATAAGAGTATGAAGAAGTGAAGGGATCTGGATAAAGTGACCGCAAAGCGCAGAACCGTTGAGAGAGGAGATCGGGGAAGAGGCGGCCAAGTCTTATACCAAACCCTCTTCTACACCCCACGCAGACGACCACTCAACATACCCTGTCGGTCTGCGACCGTCCATGGACTTTCGTCCGATCACAAGCCTCCCCTACCCTCCTACGGCACTCGCACGAAACCAGAATACCAAACGCACACTGAACAGCAGGATGGCCGCCAGCTATTCAACGAATCGCCCTTCAGATGGCATGTCTCAGCCCCCTCCTCCGTTACGCGGCGACTGGCCGACAGCGTCCACTTGCAGACCGTTTCGCGCTTTCGCCCTCAATCCTCCCTTTAGCGAGTGTATGGCTGAAGTGGGCGCGGAGGAAAGAAACCCAAATCCCCAAAAGGTATATGCTGCTAACTTAGATGGCCCTCAACGAGAACAACCACGGTGGCCTTGGCTCGAGCGGTGTTTCTCGGTCGTGCCCATCTGTTTGATCCCGCGGCAACACTTGCCCTCGACAAATCAGATCGCCATGGTTTGAGCCTCAATAGCGCGTTACGAAACCATTGTCATTGACAATTTTGCAGTTTGTTACACGCTACTAATCTGACGTGTCCCCCGCCCCGGGAAGTGGGTGGGAGGTCCAGGTCTGATGTGAAGAAACATCACGGACTGCTCTCTCATTTGAACTTGATGTTTTCGAATGGCAGGCGCATTTACCCACGGCAGACTGAAGGTGAGGCATCTATCTGCCGGAAAATTACTAGTATACGATATGTCTTCTCCCGCCAGTATCTTAGCTGCCTCAAGATGCGGCTCAAACGGCATGTTTTAGGAAGCCCCTCTTTCTCCAACGTCAATCCCAGCACCCACGCATTGTCCGTTTCAGACACCCCAGCCCGGACGCGACGAAACACTGCTGATCGATCGACAGCACGACCAAAACCATGGAGAAAACCAGGGTCAGCCCGTTCGTCGTACCTTGTCGGTCTTGAGGCTCGCCCCAAGTTTAGAACCATGAGGACCAATTGCTGCGGTAGAATGTCCTCATTCTCTTAGTCTTTTGCCTCCGCCCCCTTCACTGCTCTGGTCCACTCGCTTCACCCGTCACCGCTAGCCGAGTTCCCAGCCCCAGAAACCGACGAGTCCATTTTTGGACCACGGCGGTAACGTTCGGTCCAGGGACCTTGCAGACATTCCTGGGGCCTGAGGAGCAACGGCAGAGTGTCCATTCAGCCTATGTGTGCCAAGAGGATGAGAGCGCGATGTAACACAACGAGCAGATCCAAACGCACATCCCGCCTAACTGGTGTACCTTGCGATTCTCGCTACCAATCTTCTCAAGGACATACTTTTTCCACGCCACTTGGATCAAATGACTAGCTCGGCGTAGATCAGCTTTTGTCTTGGCGGTTGCGGCTCAATTCAGAACCGCGGCGTGTCCTGGAGTCTCGGATTGATATCTCGTTCTCTTAACATGAGATCACAACGATTCGGCGGGATGCCAGGCAAGGGGGTTCTTGAGTAGGGTATCTTCTTCTCCTTGGCCAGAGTGCCAAAAAGGGTCTGTCTGGTCTGGTCTGTTCTTATTCCCGGGGCTGATGGGACCTCACACGAGCCTTCGTCGTATCGTGCCTCGTCATCTCATCGTCGGACCTAATCAATGACGGTTTGGCTTATTCCTCCGGGAGCTCTCCATTTCGAGCCCCGTAGCTGTTGAGGGAGGATGGGTCTGTTGTCGTCTGGTATATCTAATGAAGACGCTCTTTGTGTCATCCATCTGTCTGTCATGCCGTTGGGTTGCATCAGCCTCACATCAGCAACGGCAGCGTACGCGCGCGAAAACATCGCTGCCGCTTCGGCGAATTTCTTGCGCCTCAGGCGTCGCCGGGAAAAAGAGCACAGGAACGGGCAAGATTTTCCTGTCCTCATTTTTCGCCCTTGGCCGTAGGGCTCTCTCTGGCAAAGGGTAGCTGGGTGCGTGCGTGCGTGCGTGCTTCCGCTGTTGCATACTGCAGGTTCCTGATGCCCGTGATCGGCGTCCCCACGGCGTTTCTCCTTGGCTACATGTGTCTGCTCCCATTTCCCCATGTTGCCTCGTTTGCCAAGAAAAAAGCAGAGTTCTTCCGTCTGGCTTGGCACTGCTTTTCCTACACTGACAGTGTAACACTGCATCGAGACAGTGCAAGGTAGGCCACGCGCGCGCACACATACACACATACGCACCCCAATGTACAGCATTGTGTAGAGCAGGTTGGGGCATCTGGCGACGCAGGGCGAGACCAAGACAAGACGTGTGTCAAGTGTGCAGACCACGGGGGGGAAGCGAGCGAGTCACGCATGAGAGAGGATGCACAATGCAACAATCGCTTTGGGAACCCGGGAACCTTGCTCGCCTCTCTGTCGTCTGTCGGACGGACAAATAGAACGTTGACCCTTTTCCCGTCCAGAAACACTTTTTTCCCAGACGGATGGAAGTCGAGGTCTGGGTTCATGGGTCCACCGACGAGGAGGTGGCCGGGACCTGACATGACCCTTCCATGGCCTGACCTTCCATAGTACCAAGATGAAGCGTCAGGAGACCAAAAAAAAAAAGGGAAAGGCCAAAAGGAAGGAAATTTTCCAGGCTGCTGCTTAGGGTTTGAACCGAGCCGATCGTACCGTGCTGCGTTACGTTCGCAGGTACTAGAGTTCCGACGACTAGCTTACACGTACACACGCATACACATTACACGCACGCAGGGCGCTGCACCATGGGAGCATGGTACAGTCTAACTCGGTACGCCTAGTGGGATTCGTCGCCCCTCCGCGTCAGCTGGTCGGAAGACGGCTCGAAATACAGATCCAAAAGGGGGGGGGGGGGCCGCCGGGCAACGTGGGAAACACACAGGGACGAACGATTGAGCTCCAACATGCGTCTGCTAGTTTCTCTAATATGCTTTTTTTTTCGATCCCCTCCTCAGGCCAACCGACCGGCGCGCCGAGCAACGCAGCCGATTGAAGGACGCCCAAAACCTACTAAAACGAAGCTAAACACACTTTTCCCTCTCTTCCACCCCCTGCCCGATCCATTACCCAAAGACCTCGATCATGAAGTGGTACTCAATCTTGCTCCCGTCGTGCCGCCCCCGCACCGTTAGCTGCCGGCACTTGTCCGCCAGGATCTCCCCGACGACGGGTGCGCCGCAGTAAAACACGCCGACCTTGAGCTCCTCGTCCTCGTCCTCCACATCCCGTCTGGGCCCGCCGCTAGTGCGGCGGGAAGTACCGTCTTTGCCACCGCCCGCACCGGCGTCTGCGCCCTGCTGATCAGCCGCCGCCGCCGCCGCCGCCGCCTTCTCCTCTTGCCCGTTCAGTCCGCCCCCCTCGATGGCGCCCGCGTTCATGTTTCGCCGCTTGCTGGCCCTGAACCTCCGCATGTCCTCGTAGTGCCTGTCGAGGATGGCGTCAAAGTCGGGCCGGCCAAAGTGCGTCGGGTTCAGCAGCCCCGTCAGGGGGCTCTCCGGGTGCTCGTCGGTGCGGTGCATCTCGAGCAGCCAGCGGTAGACGTGGGTGACAATGTCGCGGCGCTTCTGGGTGACGTGCGTCGCGATGCGGATGTCCAGGTGCTGGTCGGCGCCCTCGTACTTGCGGTGCCAGTCCTGGCTGCGCGAGACCGAGTTGAGCAGGTCGGCGATCCAGAGGAGGTAGTTGCGGTCGCGGACGGTCCAGTGGAAGTCGACGCGGCGGTAGTCGGACGCGAATGCGAAGGACTCTGAGGGATTGGGGGGCTTGTTAGGGTCGCTGGCGTCGGGGGCCGCCGTAGCTTCCGAGTCCTTTCTTTCCGAGGTGCTGTTCGTCTTCTTCTCCGTCGTGACGGTCGTCTCGGAGTCGTGGCGGTGCTGATGCTGGTGGGCGTGGGCGTGGGCGTGGGCGTGGGCGTGGGCGTGGTCGTGTGTCGGGCCGCCGTGCTCGTCGTCGTCGCGGGCTTGCAAGTCCGCGAGGATACCCGAGAAGGGGGTCACGCCGATGCCCGACCCGACGATGATGGTGTGGCCAAAGTCGTAGAAGCGCTGTGCCGGCGCGCCAAAGGGGCCGTTGATGCCCACGTCGATCTCGGCGGTCCCCGAGTCCCCTCCCAGCCCGCGGAGCTGCTTCGTCCAGTTGCCGTCCGTCTTGATGTGCAGCTGGAACTCCCTGCCCTTGCAGATGGAGACGGTGAAGGGGTGCCACTGGAACGTGCTGAGCTTCGGCACCTGCAGGAAGACATACTGGCCGGCCTGGTACTTCCAGATGCGCTCGCTCGGGATGGTGGCCGTGATCTCGACCGTCTCGCCGTCGAGCACTTTGAGCGTCGCCTTGATCCTGTGGAAGCCCGTGCCGATGCGGACGACGCGCTCGACGAGGACGAGCAGCGTCGGGAAGGCGAGGAAGTAGCCAAACATGGGCCACTGCAGCAGATGCGCCGTGCCGTGGGCCATCATGAGGCCGATGATGGGGTACATGAGCAGGTGGCCGAGCTGGAAGACCTCGTAGTTCCAGTTGCGCACCTTGGGCAGGCTCAGCAGCGCGAGGATGTAGAAGGAGCCGAGCGCCGTGATGCCCGTGGCCCCGGGCAGGGTGCGGACGTACGCGACGTACGGCTTCGGCACCATGTCCGGGCCGAGGACCTCGGCGACGCGACCCTGGTTCTCGGGCCGGCTGCCGTGGTAGAAGGAGCCCGTCAGGTGGCCGATGGCGTGCAGCGTCGCGAAGACGAGGGCGGCGATGGAGATCTTGATGTGGAAGGACTGGCTGAGGTCCCAGTTGACGAAGCGCGAGACGTAGTACGAGCGGCGCATCCATGTGGAGAAGTAGCGCGACATGCTGAGCAGGAGGAAGAAGAAGGTCATGTACAGCAGGCCGGCGGACGTCTTGGCCATGACGACGCCCCAGCCAAAGGCGGCGCGGTACTGCGTCTGCGTGACGTACTTTACGCACTGCCAGACGCCAAAGGCGAGGGTGCAGCCGACGACGAGGCCGAGGAAGGCAATCTCGGGCCCGTGGACGGCCCAGTAGGCGCGCAGGCGGCGGGACAGGCGCAGCTTGCGGACGTAGTCCTTTTGCGAGTCCTCCGAGTCCTTGTCCTGCTTCAGGGAGGGGATCTTCCACTGGCGGACGCGGGCGGCGAAGTCGTCGCGCAGGATGCGGTGGGAGCGGCTCCGCTCGTCGGCGGCCGGGTCCGAGGTGGTGCCCGGGTCGGAGCCGGGGAGGCCCATGATGGTGCGGAGGAACTCATGGCGCAGGCGGTTCTCGTCGCGCGAGTGCTGCTTGGACGAGAAGTCCCGGGGCGGCTCCTTCTTCCCGATGACGTGGTGCGGCTTGGCCTGGTTCTGCGGGGCGAGCTCGTCGTGGGCGGCGTCGAGCTTGGCCTCGACCTCGTTGTAGTCAATGTAGCCGTCGTCGTTGTGGTCGAGGTCGTCGAGGAAGGAGTTGATCTCGTCCTCGGTCAGGTACTGGACTCCCTCGTCGGGGTTCGTGACGGGGTGATCAACGGCAGCCATCAAGGCCTGTGGTCGGTATGCCCGTGTGGTTTGGGCTTTGGGGGGTCTGTTGGCGAGAGACGGGACGGGTGTCTGTGGGACGATGATCCTCCCGGTGAAGGGAAGGGGGAAGGGGAACGCGAGACGGCGGTCCATGATGCTTTTTGTACGAAGCTACGGGCTACGGGCCAAGGGCGGCAGGTTACGCTCATTTTCACTCGGCTTCTTGGCGGTGATCTCCCCTTTTTTTTGTCCTTCTCATGGTGTTTGTTGCTAGGTCCATGGTAGGCTTTTTTTTTTTCCGGGGGGTGGACCGCGTCGTTGTACGTCAGCCGGGGATGAGCCAAGCTTCTTGGTGGTTTAACGCGGGTGGTGCGCAATACCAAGCAATACCAAGACCTCGCTCGCCGCCGCCAGCGTGGGCTCGCGGGGCCCAGGGAGCGCAGTGGTGAGATCATCGCTCAGGTATCATGGTGCCGCCCAGAGTCTTTGTACTCTTTACAGGGCTCGGTAATGGGAAAACGTGTGATGGCATAGCTGCATTGCGGCACGGCAGACAGGTCCCAAGCCGTGAACGTAGTAGGCCATGGACGGTAGCGCGCGTGCTGTCGAGGTCTGGGCCGACTAATGGTCTCAACCGGTCCAAGCTGGCACCAATCTTAAAAAGCCGCAGGTTTCTCCCCCCACCGGGGGTTGCTAGTTTTCTGGGTCTGGATCAAGCAGAATGCCATGCAATTTGGCCCTGCTTGGCTTTTTCTTGGCTTTTCTTGAGATCAAGTTCTTATTGTCTGGTGTGTTTTGGTGAAGACCCCGTCGTCACCATGTGCTGTCATTTACAGCAGCCCTGATTGGGCGAGATAAAGAAGGTTTGAGCCCGATAAGTGGTGGGCTTGTCTACCTCGATCAGGGTCGTAGTAGTTGCAACGCACGGGCCAATGACGTTGATACCAAGGCACTGGTGCTGGGCCAATTGGATGTGAGCGAGTGGCTGGGCTGCTTGTGCACTACGACCCCCCCCCCAAGAGAGACGCTGGCCGGCTCGGTGACAGAGGCCCAGGCCCTCTTCGCCGGGGCCTCCCGCTCCACGGGTCCGGCATGTGCCGGCCGTCTGTGCCCCTCCATCATCACACCATGGCCGTCGCGCAGCTGCGTCGAGCGTCTTAGCAACACCAGGACAAGAGTTCCGTGAAGCAAACGAGTTGGGACGTTTGTAGCTTTTGCGCCAGTCATCGATGGGGGTTGGCTACGGAAGTTTTCTCACCGTCGTGCGTCACCCCGGCTGCTCGCCGTTCTGCGAGGTGCCGTGCAAGTACAATCGGAACCCTGAAGCTGACTGTGCATCTGTCCAACAGGCCCGTCTGCCGCCTCCCAATCCTTTGCATTTCTATTTTAAAACCACCCGCTTTTCAATCGCTAGTGTCCTCCAACACCAGTCCAACAACCCCTCTTGGCCTAGAGATGACTGTTGTTGTGAAGAAGTCGGAGCGCAGACAGAAGTGCGCGTCTGCCTATCAGCCCGGCAGGCACCCGTGGGCGGTGGCTGTGTACGCCGATGGCTGTCTGTTATCCAGTCAAACAAAAAGGACTCGTATGCGCTTAGATAAGATGCTTTTTCGACACATGGCATGAATTGACAACGAGAAGGGGACCGTCTGGAGCGCACCAAGTCCTACGGATGAGTCCTAGAATCAATTCCGCTGCCTGGACATCGTGGCATCACAGCACCAACACGCTGTAACAAGCACCGGTGTCACTGTGGCCGCCGCAGCCTGGGGTGGGGCCTCCGCATCGCATCACGGCGGCCTGCGATGCGGGCTGCTCCCGACTTCGGTCCCTCGAACAGGACCGTCGTCCCCGCAGGATAAATCTGCCTCGGACAGCCCTTTTCTCTTTCCTTCTAACTTTCAAAAGACAGCAGCCTTCTTAAAACATCAACCAGAGTCTCCAAAGAGAATACACTTGTTTTCACGGTCCTTGAAAGGCAGAAGCAAAGCTGCCTTGTCGTGAACAGCCCGACCCACTTCACCAGGCAGGGGACCAAGAGGACCCCCCCCCGGCCTAGCATTCACGTCCTCGCCTCACCACACCGCAGCACCCAGGCGCCCGAGTTTACCCCGCCATCCGTCGGGGAGCCTCACCTTCAGCCCAACCAACATCACCTCACCCCTCCCAGCACAACCAAAAAGCACACGTTCAAATATCCACTCACCAAAAACATACTTTTCACACACTCCCTCTCAAACCAACAGCACCGCAAAAAGGAAACAGACCAAAATAACAAAAAAAAAAAAAGAAGAAGACCAAAAAGAAAAGAAATGGCGACCCCGACAAAGGACCGCATCACCTGCCACGTCCTCGACACCTCGGCGGGCCGCCCCGCAAAGGGCGTCCGCGTGCAGCTCTCGACGGCGACGCCCCCGTCGCCCTCGGCGCCCGGCGCCGCCGGCACCCTCCGCGAGTTCGAGTCCATGACGGACGACGACGGCCGCGTCAAGGCCTGGCTGCCCTACTCGTCGGCCACCGCGTCCGGCGAGGTGCCCGTCTACACCCTCGAGGACGTCCTCGGCGGCATCCAGGGCCCTCGCGCTGGACCCTGCGCTTCGACACGGCCGCCTACTTCGGCGGCGACGACAAGACCTTCTTCCCCGAGGCCGTCGTCGTCTTCACCGTCCAGGAGGGCCAGCACTACCACGTCCCGCTGCTGCTGAGCCCCTACAGCTACACCACCTACCGGGGCAGCTAGAGCGCCCACGCGGAGAGCCCCGGGGAGGGGTGGGAGGGGTCTGTCCTGCGGGGGTTTGGGCTGGGAAGAAACTAGCACCGTAGGAAACCTTTCAGATGATGGGCGCGGGAAGAAGGGCATGTTTTTTTTCTTTTTTTCTTTCAAGAGTGTTGTTCACGGGCATGCGGACGGGCAAGACAGATATCCAGTGTGCAAGACTCTTGCAACGTAATGATAGAATTATGAGAATACTGGTTAACGATAGTCGGCTCGTCGTCCCTAGAAGTGTTGTCCCTTTTATTAAGGGACCGTGTGCCGCCAGCCAGAAGAATTCTGGCATTGACGATGATGATAATGATGACGAGTGTGAGGATAAACACTCTTCGCGATGCGGTTTTTTGCCATCCCATTGCTCCCGTAACCCAAACCCCAAACCCAAAACCTAACCCAGCCCAAAGATCCCAGCCCAAACCCCTAAAAAAAACAAAATAAAGATAACTCCGCGCTTGCGCTGTAAGTGTCTGTTTTACAATCTTTTCGGCCGTTTCATCGTGCGTGGCACATCGTGTCGATAGTTCACCGGCTAACCTCGCAACCCCTCATCATTCTTCCGTCTCCCGAGGTGGCACGGGCTACTTCCGCAGGCCGAGCTTCTTGAACAGACTGTTCCTCCGCCCGCTGCTGCTGCTGTTGGCCGACATGACGGGCGAGAGGTCGCCGCCACTGTGCGAGAGGAAGCTCTCGGCGCCGTCTTTGCTGTAGCGGCCGCCCGCGTGCAGGCTCGACTGGCTGGCGTTGGAGGGCGCGTCAGCGTCGAGGATGGCCGAAGCCTCGGCTTCCGTCAGGGCCTCGCTGCTGTAGAGGGCGGCCATCTGCGGCGTGATGACGCCGTGGCTGATGGTTCGCCTGTGCTTCTGCAGGAACGAACGCCGCGTGCGGGCCATTACTCGGTGGCCGTTGATGTCCTCCTGCGAGATGACGGCGTTGGGTGACAGGTTGGCATCGGGGTGCGGCAGCGTGGTGTTGCGTTCTGGAATTGTCAGTATTGGTTGATGCAAATAAAAGAGGATCCTTGGTTGGGCTGTCGACTCACCTCCGTTGAAGGGTTCAGGGAAGCCAGTGTCCCGAAAACTAGCCTGACTCTTGGTCGACGGGCTCCGTGGTGCGTTGGTCATTGTGTGAGGCTCTGCGAGGAGAGAGGCGGACTTAGTTTATTGTGGGGGGAAATAGGCAGTATATGAGTGGGAATAGTGTGGTAGTATAGTGTGGTCGGACGGATAGTGGCCGCGGCGGGTGCTCGCAGGGCTGATATTCAATGGAATAGTGGTCGGGGGGTGTGTGGTGGTAAATATGGAAAGCCTGGGGGAAGAAGAACAGGGAAAAGAGAGAAGCTGATCTCTTTGTGAGTGGGTGGCGGTTGTTTGGGAAAACTGGAATTCAGAGGACGAGAAAAGAGAGGGAAACAAAGACGGGGACGAGTGCCAGGTCAAAGACTGAGGCAGAGGACGAGAGACGCCGCCGGGGTTCCGTGGTTGTCCCGTTCGGTGTTGACGTTGCCGTTCGATCCTTTAGCGTCTTGGGCAATTACGAATCCCCTCCCAAAAGAGGGCGAGACCAGCTAATGAGACCGGCAAGCCCAGGAACGAGATGAGAGCAGGCGGCAGCGGCAGCGGTAGCAGCAGCAGTAATGAGTAAATGAGAAATTGAGATTCCGCACTAGGTAAAGGATCCCCTCTGGGTACTGCACTTCAGCGACCGCGGGAACGGGTGCGCGGAGGGGAGAGGTTTGGGGGGGATGGGCACGGTATTTAGAGCAGCAGGAGTCGAGAGTTGGACAGTCAGAGCAAGCAGGCGGGTGTGGCCACTGGCCTATGCGCCGCATCTGGAAACACGTAACGCTGTTCCGCCTCTCGGATTCTGTGCGGTGGTGTATGGCTACAAGGTGCCGACTTTGCGTTTCGCTCTCGCTCCATCGCTTATGGCTCCCCGCTCGGCCTTGACCTTTCCGCTTGCAAAGGCAGGCGAGGTGGTGAGAATGTGCCAAATGACTGGCCGCAGCAGAGCAGCAAGCAAGCCATGCCAACGAATGACTGGGACGGGCGGGGAAGGGCACGCTGCGCTGCTTAGCCTTTTCTCTCCCCCGCCTCGGAGGAAACGCAAGGCACAGAGACCACTAGACTCACTCGCAAAGACACGACTCTGGACGGATGCTTTTCTTCTGCTTCCTGCACAAGGGCACAAGGGCACAGGAGCACAAGAGCGCCTGAGAACCTGGGATGGCCTGCATGAGGCACCCGGCCATGCCAATGCACCCCCGGAGGTTATGACGATTGGTGTCTGGCTGTGTCATGTTTCGAACTCTGATCATGCCACACTGTTCACCGTGTGTCTCGTGGGAAACTCCCAACGGCCCCAACAAAAAACAAAAAAAGAGGAAAGGATACGAAGAGAAGAGCGAGATTGCAAGGCAGAACCGCAACAGGCAAAGAAGCGTGACTTGGGTGGATGAGAGCCGCTTGTTCTGGAAAAAGCGCGTGTACCCTGGCTGGCCGGGGCACTGTTTCCTCTCTGTTGGATCGTGGAATGATGAGTGGCGGGCAGAGGGTTTGCCGAGCGTGGGAGGATGGGGAGTGGGTTTGTGAGAAAGAGCAGACGGTGACTACGACCACGACCACGACCACGAACGACGGGAATGGAGCTTGGAAAGACAAGGGAAGTTCGGCATGGCTTACCTTGTTGGCGCAGGCTATTGGTGCGATGCGTGCCGGTATTCCGCTCGGTTGGGGACAGCAGAGGCGTCAGTGGTGGAACCTCCCTGAGGATCCTGTCTTGGGCAGGCGGTAAGACGGCGGGTAGTCTGGGCAGCGGAACGTCTTGTTCCAACTCGAGCTTTCTCGGCGGAGGACTGAGAGACGTCTGTACTGTACTGTACTGTCCTGTACCAAAACGGCCGAGTCGAGGGGGGTTCTGAGATCCCCACTGAACAAGCGCGCGGTAGGGTATTAAGCTGGTTTTGGGGAAGAAGCAAAGCCTCGGGAGTTGAGGATGAAACGGTCTGCGGGGGTTGGGCAAGAATGGTAGGTTGCCGGGTTCGTGAGGGTCGGCCTTGTAAGAGCGTCCGAGTTGTACGAAGGGGAAGAGGAAGAGAGTCGTGTGGCCGTGGGACACAAATAAAGTCTGTGGCCGATGGTCGTCGGCGTTCGTGGGTTGTGACTGAGAGTTGACGTGCCCTTCGTTATGCTGCGAGTCTGTAAGTGGGGATGGGTGATGACATTCGGTGCTGGTGTCCAAGGGATTTCCTGTACGAAATCGCGAACGCCCGGGAAGGCGGCATCCATGTTGTTTATATCATGGAGGGCTAATGCCGCCTGCCACCGCACCGCACCGCACCTCACCTCACCTCACCACCGCATCATGCTCCCTCTTGTGGTGAAATGGTAGGTACGGCAAGAGCTGACGATCCGCGCACCTGCGAAGCGCCCCGCTAGGTGAACCCGCAAGGTCGGTCATATCCGTCCGTGGCTTGCTTGCAGCAAGAACACGCTTGACCCAACTAGGCAAGGTCACGTTGGGCTTAGCGTGATTTGACCTGGCCTTGATTCATCACCCAAACCCACGATCCCATCAGATCGTAATATGGCAGCTGGCTGGCAAGCGTCCGTGTACTCTGCTCTGTGACCGCACTGCAATTGGATGTTTTTAATTGTGTGGTTCTTGTACTCCCTCTCCGTCATTGTCAATTCACGAGTCCAGCCGATTTACCGAAAACACAACGAGAGAAAAGGGCAGAGCACGACGGGGAAACACTTTTTCACTATTGGCCAAGCCAACCTGTGACAATGGCTGTTCGGCACTTTGCTACTCATGTAACCCAGAAACATGTCCAAACGATGCAACGATAGGCCCTCCTTCTGGGATCTTCGTTGAGAGCTTTGTTGCGGTCTTTTTTCGTTGGAGGTAACCCAAAAACACCCCTTTCCCGTTCTTGGACCGCAAGCGAGACTTTCCGGTCAATCCTCACCTCAAGACCCCCCCCCCCCCCCGTCTCCAACTTTTTGGCGTTCCGATGATCCAGCGATGCCAATCAAACCTCGCTCGGTGTCTCTGGAGTGTCTCGCTGTTGGTTCCCTCACTGGTCCAGCGCGGCAACTAACGACTGCAGAGCAACTCCTCTGACCGACTGAAATGAGACGCTTATCCCATGACTTTGCTGACCGCCGCCGGTGGTTTTTTCATTCTTGTCGTCCAGTCCCCAAGTCTCAACCGTCCACGTTTGCCCTGGGCCGCGACACAGGTTTGGCCAGTCACCCCCCGGCTTAGCCCAGCCGGAAAGCCGGAACACCTTAAATCGAAAATCTATGCTTAGAAGCGCCTTCATTTACAGATAACGCTAACGAGAGAGCCTGAGTCGGTATGCTATCCGTACTAAACCCCTATGAGCACAATCGGTTGGGCATTCCAGCAGAATGCACCTTATTTGAGGGCCCAAGTCCTACACCAGACGGCCTGAGCACCGCAGACTGCGACGCTATAGATGAAATGACCCCGTCACTTAGGTGTCAGAAAGCTGCCAGCGGCCTTCGGAATCCCCGCTCGAAGCATTCTGCGCCTTCTTTTGACGGCTGGAAACCCCCTCGCTGAAATAGGCACCGCACCCCTGTCCCTGTCACCCTGCCTCGTCCAGCAATCGGCACCAGGGCAACCTCCAGCGGCGGAGCAGAGACAAGGAAGCTCTGGCGGCGGAGGAGGGACGAGAGAGCGGCGACGGCGGTGGGGCTCACCGGAGGACCCTGACGACCTGAACAGCGGAGCCTCGGAGGGCTGCGCCCTGCCCCTGATTGGCCCCATGCGTGTCCACGCCACACTAAAGAGCGGAGCTATATTTCCAGCGTTGTGATTCGGCCAGATTGGCCCGCTGCAGTGATGCAGGCCGAGGCCAGCCACAGCATGCGCGTTACGCGGCCTCCGATCTTTTGCTGGAAACACTCGATGAAGATTGTGGGAAGATCCGCCGTCACCGGGTCACGCTGGCAAAAACTGGGACGATGGGCGCCGAGGGGCATTACCGGATAATTTGAACATCCCCTCCTTCGCTTCTGGGAGTTGATTGACTTGTCACGCCGCCACTCATGATGCATCTTGAATCTTCCAGCAAAGAGCGGCCCCCACCCCGGCTTTGTCGTCCGCACGGCCACGAATCCCGTCGCCGCTGCCGTCACCACCGTCGCGAACCTGTTTCTTGCTTTCATCTCTTTGTTCCTTGCCGTTCGGGATCCCATATCCGTACCATGGTGGGATTGGCTGGACTAAACAAACCTGGGGGAAGACGTCTGGCGTCCGTGACCCGCTAAATGGCATGTTCCTGCAGACTGCGGTTCACTCACTACGTACCTGAAGAATCCGCAGATCGTTGCCCGGAGCTTCGCTAGGCCGGTGCTGACCCCACGATTCGATCCCGATTGATGGGCTCGGCTGGCATGTCGTCCCGTTCCCGGCTGTCCATAGTCATGATCTGGCATTCACTAGCCACAGCGTCAATGGTCACGTTCCTCATGTCAAATAACCTCCGATAAGGTATTGAGACATGTAGCAAATAAAGCTCGCCAACGTTCTTTGTTGGAGCTGACCAAAGTTCGTCGTGGTCTGGACCGCCCCGGCGCAGAATGTGAGCCTGTTCTGGATATCCCCTGGCACGCGGGTATCCAAATGTTGAATTTCACCCTTTCTCCACCTTCCGACCTCGTCAAACTAGACTGCGCGGATTTGGAATGCTAAGCGCCATCCATGATTAGTTGTCTCCGGCTTCGCTATGTGCCGAAATGACTCGCTGATAAGCCCAATCTATACTCTACTGAAATGTCCAAATTTGGCATACCTCGAGTGGGAGCCAACGCCACGGCTCCTTCCGAGGTGTCGTGGACCTCAGACAACCCCCTGGAGAGAGAACCATCGCAGCCTCCCCGGTAGCGACTGAGATGAGACTGGCTCAGCACCCTCGCGAGTCTCAAAACGGCCCCTGTTGACACGGGACCGCCGCGACGTGCCACCTGTCCTGGCACCGGGTACAGATCTTGGCGCTGCAGCCGCCGCACCAGATCAGCTCGCGCTTCCAGTTGTCGACCATGATGCGCCGGCGCCGCCGGCACTTGGCGGCCGGGCACGTCACCGTCGACGCCGTCCAGTCGCCAAACTTGCGGTTCCACCGCCTCTTGAACTGCTTGTCGAGCAGGTGAGTCGCGTGGCCCGGGAAGACGCTCGCCGCCTCGCAGCACCGCGGCCTCTTGGTCGACTCCTTCAGCATGGAGGCCGAGAACCGCGCATAGATGCAGCCGTCGCAGAGGCGGTGGCCGCATTTCAAGAGTTGCAAAGGGTCGCCTGTCTCGTTGGTCGACGAGCCGCAGCCGTGGCAATCGGCCGCGCCGGGCTCTGATGCCGGCGGCGGGTCTTTCCTGCCGGGCTTCTCTTCTTCGGGTATCCCCTCTTCGGGATCCTCTTCTTCGGGTTGGAGAGTGGATGAGCCATCTTCTGTTGGCGCATCCTCGGGGTTGGTTGCGTCTCCCTCTTCTTCTGACTCCCAGACCACTTCGTCGCATACCGTCTCGGCGTAGCTCGTTAATCCGTCGAGATATTCCTCGAGCCTGGCATTTGTGCTCCACGCTGGACCTTCCCCAGGAAGTGAGACTCGGAGGTGCTCAATCTCCTCCAAGATTCTCTCCGTGTCATCTTTTATGGCAGGTACAACTTTGGTCTGATCTCGGATGACTTCTGTGTCGTTCTTGATACTCTTGGCCAAGGTTCTTAGTTTCTGTTAGCATCGACTGAGACGACGTCCTCCGGGGTCCGACTCACAGAGTCACGGTCTCGACAGCCAGACTCAGAGAGCTCCTATAGGCCTCCAGACCCCTCTGCAGAGCCTCTACCTCCCTCTTGCCGTCGATCGCCCAGCGCAAGGGGCCCCTCCTCCCCTTGTGGCGCTCCAGCACCGCGTCGATGCCTTGGATGACGCCGCCGCAGCTGTCGACGATGGAGACAATCTGCGCCCGCAAAGGGTGTGGCAGATGGCCGCCGTCGCCGTCGTCCCGGAGTAGTTCCAAGATGATCTGCAGGTCCGCCAGCTCGCGCGCGACGGTCGTCAGGTCGGCGCGCGCCTCGCGACAGTCTCTGACGAAGGCCGACACGGCCTTGGCGGTCGCTCCCGCGGCTGTGATGAGACCCACGCAACTCGCTGCGATGGACAAGGGGTCTGCCATCGCTTGTCAGCGGCCGTGGTGGGAATTTCTTCGTCGACTTTTGCGGCGGGCGCGGGTTGAGAGGAGAGGGTGGGGGGGAGGTGAGCGCATGCACGCGCTCCCGATAGAGGGAGAAGTGGGATTGAAGCGGGCTGCATTATGCAGGGCGCCTAGCTGATCCAAAGAGATCAGCTTGTGACAGCTATTCCGTACCATGCACAACGTTGAAATAGTAGGTAGCCCCGCTATTCGTCGACGATTGCGCAACTGCAATGACGGCTTGTTTAACAGTAGTCAGGGAGCAACAGCTGAGTGAATGAAGAACCATATCTACCATTATGACTCCGACATAGTTTTAGTACGTTTAGCACTGTTATTTAGCATTAATTTTAGCCACCTCTCAGCAATAAACATAACTGTCGGATATTTGACCAAAGCACTTCAGACGCGGTCTGTTATTTCCCGCCAGCTCTAACAAAGTACAAAAGAATCAAGAAATAAGGTTGAAAAGCTTACTGAGTAGGTAAAAGAGGTGACACTGTCCATGCGTCAAACGATGTTATTCGGATGATTGAGGCCATATAATACGATTTCTCTGGTCAAAGATACCCCTCAATAGTTGCAGCCTGGCAGGCAATCAACATCCGCCGGGTTACGCCGTAGCCATGTGTGCCACGTTGACAAACCGCAAAAAGACCAGATTTCGACCAAACGTTAGGAATTGACTCTAACTTTCCTCCGTTTTTGCTCCCTTCTTCAATCAACTCCTGTCATGTCTTTGAGAACTCTCCATCGGAAGGTTCGAGGACCTCGACGAAAGAGGCCCTCGACCATACGTCCATGTTCATGAAGTACCTCGAACATGCATCAGACGCCAGTGGGCTGAATATTAAATGACCAGAATCAAAAAACCAGCCACACTTTGAATGTTCTGCCATCATCTTCTCTTCGACCAGCGGAGTTTTGAAACAATCTGTCTGTTCACTGAGCCACCTTTCCAAGGCAGGTAGCTGAAAATTGCCTGAGATGTGAGGGTCCAGAGTGGAAATTCTACGATAGGTCAGCAACTCCGTCTGGATTGCTGCCCAGAGGATGCCAAAGTCCGTGTCCAAGCAAGGAATTCTGAAAAACTCATGGTCTCCCGATAGATCACATTCTTCATGTGATGCCTCACGTCGATCGTCAGAATCACTCCTGGCGTCGTCGACATTATCCTCTCCAATCCAGTCGAAATCAATGCTGTCCTCAAAAACATCGAATGATCCCCATCGTGAAGTACTGGGCTCTTTTGAAAACCCAGTGGTTGCACGGTGCAAAATCAACAGCAGACATCTCCAACCAGTTTGACAGGAGGAGCTCCACTTCTCGATGATCGGTTCAGGTATTTGCTGTGCAAGCTGGAGAGCAGTGAGGAATTGATGATGACAGCCTTCGTTGTCAGGGGATTGAAGGAGTTCCACGACTGATAGGTCAGCCGTCAAATTTGCATCAGCACCGAAGGCTAGAAGGCAGACCAGACATGCCAACACACCGAAAAGCGTTTCACCGTCCATACCGCGCTCCGAAAGATAGAATGCAGTCAAAACAAGTAGGTGGATCGGGCCCAACTTCAGCTCGAAACCGCAGTTGGTGCATCGGCGTCGAAAAAGTCCACTGAGGGCGTTGATATCTGGGGCAGATGTAGGCCCAAAAATCGCAATCATGTTGTGGCATATTGCTTGAGCTGCGGTGTGACAAAAGGAATGCTTCCATTGTTTCGGGATCCGACAATATCCAGCTTTATGCAATTGTCGGATAGTCGGCGAGTCAGCATCCCATCGCCCACAGATGTCCTTCTCTTCCCCAGGGAAGCGAGTGCACTCTCGGAAGCTTTCACTAGCCTCAAATGGTGACAAATCGGTGTGTGATCGCAATATTGAGATTATGAGACTGTCCAAAACTGTGTGTCCGTTGGAGTCCACGTTGTTCAGCGCGATCGGAAGGGACACTTGGAGAAGACAGATGAGGTCGTTCATGACTAGGCAGCATGTATGACCACCGTCTATGAAAGAGGCCGCAAGGTGGAAAGGGAAGATCGCTCTAACCTTGTCGACCACACGATCCCACTCCTCCTCTTCCTCATACATCTGGATTGCGGGTGTCAAATTTCCAGCCATGATGGCGAATGCCCATGCCTCTATTTCGAGTTCTTCGGGCGACTTCGCAACAGCCTGTTTAAGGATATCGTTTGAAATAGGTAGTTCATCATCAGATATTGTACTGAAACGACTTTGGTTGAACGCTTCACGCATTGAGTCTGGCAAATTCCGATAAATAGCCTCAGTCGCAGGCCACTGAGTCCACGAAGACTGGTCGTGCAGGTTGAATTCCGCTTGCGTTGTCCGAGGCGGGGAAGCGATTCTTTGGTAATGAACGTTGTCTCGGTGGTGAATGGTCCATCTGCATAGACTTGTTGGCTGCCTCAATTCGATGACACCTATAGGCTGTGACGACGGTGCAGATGCAGTTCCCGATGGTGATAGGAATTCCAAAGGGCTTTCCAAGTTCATCTGCATGAGAGTAACATCGGATACTAGGCCGGCAGTCCACTCTTGAGGCCCTCTGCCCCAGAACTTCGTTGTCATATAGGAATGCATCCAGTAGTCATGAAGCCATTCGCAGATCAACCTACATCTCTGGTGAGCACCGAATTACGAATACGTAACTTGACAAATACTTAGAGATATTCCTAACTTACCTTCTATCGCTGATACTGCATCCGCCCAGAAGTTCTTGCCGGCGGCCCTGCAGAAGAAGGTTCGAACGATCGCGCAACACCTTTCTCTGGACTAAAGCAGCTGTCGGTGTAAGCTCTGCTGGTCGCCCACCAGGAGTAGTCGCTTCAGGACTGTTGATATTCAAGTACTGGGGCGTGTTTGCCAAGTGCTCAAAGGGAGATGAGTGATCCATAGGTCTGACCATCGAGGATCTGTATGCAGCGTAAGGCAGATTCCATTGAAAAAAGCTACAAAAACGTTAATACCAACTGGTTTTATGCACGATGCATTCAGAGAAAACTCACGTTCCAGGAGAAAGTGGTTCAACAGCCTGATGACGAGTGCTGTCATTGAGGTATCGTCTCAAATTTTTCGCGTCCACTGGCCTCATTACCCCACCCTCACCATCGTCCTGCTGTATTGTCACATTGCCAAGGCTTGCGCCAAGGTAATTCCTCTTTCCAAGTGCAGTCACAACGGCATCTTTTTCTTCTTTGACAGTGCGTTTCTTGATGTTCCACTTGCGAAAACGATGACGATATTGGTGGGCTCTAGCAAGATGGATGTCAGACACGTCAATTTCGTAAATAGATCCAAGAGGGATTACAACTTACTCTGCAGGGAAGGAATGTTTCTCCTTCATGTAATCGGCAAGTTCGGATAATTTCAAAGGCTTATCGAGGCTATACTTTCCGGTACCCAAGAAAACATCGATGATGATGGGTTTCAGGTGCTCCCATCGCTCATCGTATGGGACATGCGTACTGCTGTTGCCGGACATTGACCTGTGACTCTGATGGCAGGGCTAATCTGCCACTGGCAAAAATAAGAGACAAAGGCGATGACTTGGAGAGAACAGATGTGTGACCAGGGAGTTGAACCACCTGCCATTTACACGTGATTCAAAGCGCCGCAAAGGATGGGGTGAGGAGTGGAAAGGCTGGGTGGGTGTGATCCTTTTATACTACTTTGTCAAAACGGAAGTTGATCCCTGGTGCTGTTGTAAAGGCAAACGGTTGCCTCGTCTCAAAGATAGGCAAAATTCTCATGGGCCGCGGCCATTCAACCACTTGGCAGCAGAAGTCCGATGTGCAGTTCATCCAAGTAAAAGGTGACATGGCTGTCTCACAAAAGGTGAAGAGCCAATCAACTAACGGAAGCCCCTAGTAGCCGGCTGATCCAACGTGCCGTCAGGGGAGCATGATGCCGCCGCTAATGCAGGATGTGAAGGAACAAAAGGACACGACCCAATCAACGAGAGACTTTCAAGCCACTGGATGGGCTGAGTTGATGTGCTGGGCAGGCTTTAACGTCACTTACTTTCCAACGACACTCTCCGTACTTTGCCTACCGACCAAGAGTCCCACTTCACAAAAAGTGATCAGCCAATCATTACCTTGACAAAACGTGAAGAGCCAATTGGATTATGGCTCACACCGACACATTGGATGCACTATCAAAATGTAAGGCCAACTTGCTTTCTAGGGGTGAGTGAAGAAACATTGGCACAGGGGCAACACCAGGACTCCAAATCGCCTCCATCCACACTCACTTCCCCGGTAACTAAGCCTCTAACTCGGCCAAGTGCCCACATGGGCGGAGACTCCCCTCACAGTTTTAACAGAAGACAAAAAGAGAGGGACGAATCACACACTGAGTCTTGTAAAACAATGGGGCCGTTGCCAACGGAGTGGATGTGTTCCTCGGGGAGGAGGTGCAGATGATGGAACGGATCTATGGTCATTCTAGGCACAGATCCTAAGACTAGAATTGAACTTTCCATTTGCTTGTTTTCGAAGTCCCCGTTGTAGGCAGACACCGTAAACCTGGGCAGCCAACTCTAAATGTCTAATCGAGTTGTTTTAGGGGTATACCAATAACTAACATAAATATGAACACTCGGCGCTCCCAGTGTTCATTCATTTTCCATCATCCAGAGCAACATCTTCTTCTACTAGTCAACAGCTTAAACGGTTCTCATGCGGCTTCTGTCTTCATATTCCTAGCCCTTAGCTTATCGACGCCTTCTGGCAACCATTATATCACCACACCACTTGTCGCTAAGCTACTCAACCCTGAGCTTGCTATATCTCGTCAACATCATAATGCCGTCGCAAAACAAGTACTCCCAGTATAAGTCAGTAAGAACCACCTAGGCTCTTGGAAGTCCTTAACTGACTGTCTCTCGAAGGAAAGCTTCCTCTTCCTCTTCTCAATTCGATACATCGAGCACTGCCGGCCGTTGCGGATCTCCTCCTTCACACACTACAAAGAAGACCGATAACGGCAAAGGGGCCCATAAAGTAGGGAAGAAGAAGGGTAAAAACAAAGATTCTGATGGAAAGGAATCCAGTGTCACATTCGACCTGGTTTATATGGGTGCACAGTTCAGCTCGTGATAAGCGATAGCAGATTTGGATGTCGTCTATATCGAATCTTGTCTGTGCCGCTGTGGAATTATGCATTGATATTCCACTAAAACAATGCATTGTGATTTACTGCTTATCCAGGCCGGAATAGATGACTACAAAAGTGGAGTAATAGAACATCCCATGTGGTATCTTCTACTTATTGATCCTTCGGCCTTCGTTGCTGCGAATCGGCTGAAAGAGAACAAAATCTGAACCTGACGGCATATGATATTGATATTTATTGAGCGTGACTGATTAAATAGTCGAACAGACTGCAAATGGGACAAAACCATGGTGGGCACCATCAAATGTGACATCTTCTACAAGGAAACTTTCCAAACCAATTCGGATATCGACGGGAGAGAACTTCTCAAGAAAATCACTGCTGGGTTGGCCCATAGGCAGTCATCGACGACCATGTCGTCAATCCTCACTGCTCCACCCCATCCTCTCTATACTCTATCACCGTCTCCTGATCTCATTTAACCGTAGAAGAGCCAAGATAAAAGTGGAATCACCAACCAGAATAATTCTACCCATACACAAGCTCTACTCTGGGGGGAATTGTGTAGGATACACGCCTTTAAAAAGGGTATATCTAGTCTTATACCAACGGCCAGTTTGATAGCAGAACGGCACTCATTTGGGGACTGCCAGTAGGTCTTTATTTTAAAAGCTTTTAGAACCACGTGTTAGTTTTTTCCCCAATCGCATACTTGCTGTCCATTTATTGGGTGTCAACTGTGCCTAAGTTCAGTCGAGATAGGAAGGGGTTTCTAAGTGCAGCTCTTTGAGGGAACGGTCTCGTGTTGTCAGTAGAGACGTGTGTTGAACAGCAGATGCATCTGGTTCCTCCAACTAGTATCAAAGTAGAACGGCTAGATAAAAGCCTTCTAGCAGAATATTTTCTAAGCTTGTGAAACGGTGTTTGAACGGTTCGCCGATCAGGCGCTACGCACGCGGCATGCACAGTGCCTCTCTTTGCTAGCTCCATGGCGAGGAGATTCTCAAAGAAGTGCTGTAACTCTATCTCGATGGTTGACGTATGACGGTTCATCACAATTCCTGCTACATCATTGAAAGGCACGCGATATTTAACGACTCGTTGTTTGGAATAGTTCATTAGGTATAAGCTTATGATGTACAAGAAAAATGGCATGCCTGTCGATGCAGGTGTGGTATCATGTGTCTGCTAAACACGAATTCATCCAAAATCCTTTACTAATAAAATCCCAAATTCCTTCCCCAGTACGCCTGCGCTAAATCGGAGGCGCCATTCTCGTGGACGCGTCAAAGTGATGTATTATAGAGTTCCCAGAGCTACTGATTGTCGGGACTGACTCGTGGATTAACAAGCTCAGACGCGGCTGCGCTGCCAGAAGCGGCGACGGCGGTAGGTGGTGTGCGTGGCAGGGGGAGAGTAGTTGTCGATCTTGGACCGCTGCTGGCGGCGCTTGTGCAGACGCCCACTGCAGCAGGTGAAGAAGACGATGATGGTACCGAGGAGCAGGCAGATGGTGGCGGCCAAGAGGGTCCAGAGCGCGACGTCGTAGTGAGCGTAGCTGCCGTCAGTGCCGTTGTCGTCCCGGTTGACGTTGCGGCGGATGACGGCGAGCATGACCCAGTCGCAGATGAGGGCGACGATGGTGATGATGAAAGCGACGCCGGAGACAAGGGCGGCGAAGAGCGAGCCAAACATGCCGGCGCCGACGGAGAGGACGAAGGCGATGAAGGAGACACCGGCGGCGATGGGGTGGAGGATCATGACCCGGGTCAGGCCCTCGGCGGCGGTGGAAGACCAGCCGGAGTACTGCGTGGCATCGGCCTCGCCGACGATGTCGGCAGGCGAGTAGCCGATTCTAGAGCGGCTGCATTGGTCGGAGCCACTAGGAGATGGGTTAGTAAAGTAGTCGGTTCTGTTTTAGGATCGAAGACTTACTCTGCGGAACCGCCAATGACACACCATCCAAAAGTGCCAAACTTGATCTCGTTGCCGGCAGAAGATTCGCCCAGCTTCACGGTCAGGAGGGAGATGTGGTGCACCACCGGGGCGGAGATGCTGGTGATAACAAGCAGGATTGTTGCTGCAAGGAGCAAAAAGGTACCGAAGTGGTGAATGAAACCGGTGACGGCCATGGTGATGGATTGCTACTGCCGAAGCGCTGGTTTGTAATTGTGTGGAGCTGAGTTATACAAGACAAGTGGCGATGGAATACTGAAGAGATGAACATGTTCGTGGAAAGTAGGGAGCAGCCGTCTGCATATAAGCACCACCGTCTCACGACCCCTGGGCCGGGCCAAGAAACAGGAATTCAGCATAATGTGCTGTGTGATCTGTGACGGTACAACGCTGGGCATACCGTCCGGGGTCAAGAATGCCGTGTAAGTCAGGGTCCCCGACGCAGCCCAATGGGTTCGACGTCATCAACGTGGCCCAGTTTGGCTCTGCTGTGTGCTTTTGTGGCTTTGAGAGTAAAAACGGGTGGAATGGACCCTTGCTTGCGCAAGCACTCCCGCGCCACGGTTGGTCGGCTGGCCTAGGCCTTGCGAAATTCGTTTAATTGTCGCCAGAAGCTGGCGGTCGTGGCTTCAGTGATAGGAACGTGGCACTGGGGGAGCCGTGACGTATTGGCGTTACCGCCAAGCTGATTGGCCCGTCGCCGGCGTCGGCGTGGGTGCCGGTCTAGGGTATTGCGGGTTGCAAGTCTTCCTTGTTTTTGTGGCTCTGATATGACGCCACGCGTTGGATGGACCCTGGCAATGGGAAGTAATCCAACTTCAAGGTCTGTCCAGCTGACTGCCGTATTGCCGATTCCCAGCTTTTTCTTTGGCAGAAGCACATGCAGATCGTCATCAGGAAGCTGTTCAACGTTGCATTGGCAAGCGAGGACCCTAAAATGTTTCTTCGTCATTCTCTACAATCGTCTCTGGTTCTTGCAATCCGATGTCGAGGTGCCAACTGTCGTCCCTAAGCGTTCGCTTGCGACGGTTCAGGGTCTCCATGTTATGTTAAGATGTTAATGCATCGTCCAGGCCCGCATTAAATTAGGCCATGCAGCGCGAAACATTAAAAGTTCCGTCCAATGATCTGGCCCAATTGAAAGGCTTGTTTAGTCCTTCTTCCATCCCAACTTCTGGCAGAGCCTCCTGCCAAATTGACGGCTTGAACGGGTGATTCGCTTCCGGGACGCTTGGCCGAAGGCGAAACGATTGAATGTGAGGAAATCGATATTGTCACGTCTTTATGGTCTTGGCTATCAGCAGAGGCTTCAAGTTTCAACACGCCGGCTTGGGCTCGCATTCCCCATCATGCGCCGGCGCGACTAAAATAAGCCATTTTATCGCATAGATGGGCCGCCGTTTCTTGAGCCGCTCCACGCGGGTCTGGTTCCAAAATATGAGCCCAATCCAGTGCTAATGCTCCAGCTTCTGCCGAATCCAGGCGCGCTGGTAGAACATAATATCCTCCTTCACAGCCAGTTCTATGCAGTCGACGAATGTGCGCGGTTGCATTTCACACACAAAGGAGTGGGCACAAGCTAGTTGATGCGTCTCCCAAGTTCCGAAGAGGCTGTGAAACTTATAGATCATGGTGGCCTCGTGCTCCAGGGAGTCGCCGAACTCGATGCGCACCAGCACCTGGTGGCGGGCCGGCGCCCTCCGCGTGCATCTTGCGCAGCTCCTGGGGCCTAGACGATTCAGACTCTCCAATCCACGTCGCTTCTCAGTGTTTGACTTTAGTGGGGGTTATCAACATTGCAGCGAGGCCATCCCATATTGCGGAGCTGAGACTCCTGAGGAGGATGCCATCCAGCATGGTCTACTTGGCTAACAAGACCATGCAGACAGTGAGCGAGGCACGGGTGGGCTCATGCAGATCGACAGCAAGGGCTGCTTGTGTATCGTCCCATCCATGGCGCAAAGTGCCCAATATAAGTTAGATGCGTGCCTCGTTGTGATGTTGGAAGACTCTATGTCGAATAGAGCCTCAACTAGCCGGCGTCGGGTCTGCCACGTCCGGGTCGAGTTGGATTGGCAATCGCGAAGTGATCATGGTTGCCACGACAGAGAATTCCGGTAATTCGTCAACAGCCAGCCCTGCCAGGCCACCTGATGCGACAGGAGTGCCAACAGTGGAGGCCGGCAATCGCGTTCTGTCGTGTAGAGATGCATGGCATGCTTGTCGTGGCTAGTCACGTCTTCCTCAATCTGACTTGCCCGCTTCTTGTCGAAGATGAAGCAATCCTTCCATGATGGCAGGCGCCTTTTCGTTTTGTTCTCTGCGTTGAATACGGTCGATAATGGCGCGTTTTCTGACGTCGATTGACTTGGTGCCGAGAAGAATTTCCTCCCAGAGCTGCCCCTTGGAAGAGGCTTTGACCTGTCCGCCGGTCTCCCAGTCCGACAAACCGTCAGTGGTGACATCTTTGGGCATCGACTCCTTCAAGGTTGCCGACATGACTGTTTCGCGACGGGACTTAGGCCACGGGCCGTGCAGAGGAGACGCCTTGATGGCGGCGGAGTGTATATAGGTCGGAGCCGGGAAGATGTACACCGTGAAGTCCTTCTTGTCCTCCGCGTGCGCGACGCCCTCCGCATCATCGCCGTACCTTGAAGAGTCGACAAAGGGGCCAGCCGAGGCTGAGCTCGCTAAGAACGTCTTGACGGAACCGTTGGTTCGGGGGGTCGCAAGCTGGTATTGTAACGGGCTGATCTTGGCGAGCTCCTTGACTTTTGCTTTGTCGCTGAGGACCGAGATGAAGGACGAGGGATGGTTCTGTGTACAAAAGAATGTCAGCAAATCGAAGAAAAATCAGGGCCAATGATCCTCGCATGTGACATGCCTCTAACTTCTTGAACACTTCAACTTTGGCGAACTTTTGCAACGAGTGCAAGACAGCGCGTCGCTCAGCGAACTTGGTCGGTCTTGGTACGACCGTGACTTGTATTGTGCGCGAAGCCACCTTGTTGTGAAGAGCCTGCAGGATCGCGTGGCCGTTGGTCGACATGGCGAATGCGGTCGTGGATGTGGTCACAATTGCATGTGAGGCATCGGGGCTTGCGGAAGCGCAGTTCAGTTGAAGCTCCGCAAAGTCGTAAAGCTCTGGTGGAGCATGAGGCCGTGCGAGTGGTTGCACCAGCAAGTTTGCACACGGTGATGACCGCCGGGATGCCCCGCCATTTGGCGGGGAGGCAACGCTCTGCGAATGGACTTCTAGAACAGCTTGGAATACGCGGTGCTACGCCTCAAGTCTGTCACCTACTCACTTCTCAGAATCCTAGCACAAGCCTTCAAAACGACCCTAAAGTCCAACAAAACTAGTGCACATCACCAGCTGCAACTACACACGACTCCAGCATCGTCACAGACACACCAACCAACCCCAACGTCGCATCTCCAGACCGAAGCCATGGCCGCCATCATCGACGCTGACGATGTGATGGAGCCCACCCTCCAGTCCATCCTCGACCAGAAGTCGCTGCGCTGGATCTTCGTCGGTGGTAAGGGTGGTGTCGGAAAGACGACCACCTCGTGCTCTCTCGCCATCCAACTCGCCAAGGCTCGCAAGTCGGTCCTCCTCATCTCGACCGACCCGGCGCACAACCTGTCCGATGCCTTCAACCAGAAGTTCGGCAAGGAGGCCCGCCTCATTGACGGCTTCACCAACCTCAGCGCCATGGAGATCGACCCCAACGGCAGCATGCAGGACCTGCTCGCGGGCCAGAACGAGGAGGTGGATGCCATGAGCGGTGGTCTTGGCGGCATGATGCAGGACCTCGCCTTTGCTGTAGGTCTTCCTTTGCAACCCTCTTTTCCAGAGTGAGAACTAACCTTCTCCCCGACCAGATCCCCGGTATCGATGAAGCCATGTCTTTCGCCGAGGTCCTCAAGCAAGTAAAGTCCATGTCCTACGAGACGATCATCTTCGACACCGCCCCGACGGGCCACACGCTTCGCTTCCTCTCCTTCCCCAGCGTCCTCGAGAAGGCCCTGGCCAAGGTCTCCCAGCTGAGTTCGCAATACGGGCCCCTCCTCAATGGCTTTCTGGGCTCGGGCGGCCAGCTCCCCAACGGCCAGAACCTCAACGAGATGATGGAGAAGCTCGAGACGCTGCGCGAGACCATCTCCGAGGTCAACAGCCAGTTCAAGGACGAGAACCTGACGACCTTTGTCTGCGTCTGCATCCCCGAGTTCCTGTCGCTCTACGAGACGGAGCGCATGATCCAAGAGCTCGCCAACTACGGCATTGACACCCACAGCATCGTCGTCAACCAACTGCTCTTCCCCAAGAAGGGTAGCAACTGCGACCAGTGCAACGCCCGCCGCAAGATGCAGAAGAAGTACCTCGAGCAGATTGAGGAGCTGTACGACGAGTTCAACGTCGTCAAGATGCCGCTGCTGGTCGAGGAGGTCCGTGGCAAGGAGAAGCTGGAGAAGTTCAGCGAGATGCTTACGACGCCTTACGCCCCTCCCGAGATGGACGCATGAGTAACGCGTTTCGTGGAGTGTCGGGGATAGCGAGCACTGGTGTTGAGAGGTTCCAAAAATACGACTGAAACTTGTTTATGATGGGATGGGCAGCATGGAGGCGTCAGAGTCAAGAGTGGAGATATAGAATACATTCACAAACGATTGATACCCGGTGATATGTGCAGGAGACTTTATTGACCATCTTGGTGCGTGTTTACATACAAAAAGCGGCCCACGCTTGGGTAAGATGCGTGAGAGGTACACGTCTGGTGTCCCGTTATCCCGAATGCCCCCCTCTCCCGCATTGCCTTGGTGGCACATCAATGGTGAAGCCCGATCCCCTTCGAGGCACAAAAGTATTCCACCCATACCCTACCGGAACGCCTCAAGACTTCAGAATAGTCTTGCCTAAATACCTCTTGAGGTTTTGAAGATTGTGTTATGCCGTGGTTTTCCAGAATGATATGATGATGATGATGATGATTATGAACCGTAATGCAATGCGTGTCGTCTAGTGTTACAGTCGAAGAAGCTATAGCTGGCCGTGGATGATGAAAAAGTCTGGCGTATAATCAAGTGATCGAAGCTCACAGCTCCCTGTAGTCACTGGGTCGGACTCGCTTCTGACGGTTCTGATGGCGATGAGGGTTAACCGGTCTCCGGAAGTAGGCATCCTCATCATTGCTCGGCTGCGTGAAATTGTGACGTTGCTGTTGGTTGAATCCGCCCATGCCACCGCCGTTCATACCGCCGTTCATACCGCCGTTCATACCGCCGTTCATACCGCCATTCATGCTATTCATTCCGCCATTCATACCGTTCATACCGTTCATACCACCGTTCATGTTGGGATTAAAGTTGTTGTTGCCGTACATGTTGTTGCCCATGTCGGGGAAGCCGCCGCCGTTCATGGGGTTAAAGCCGGGCATGCCCATCATGGGATTCATCATACCCATCATTGGCATTCCCATGTTCATATTGCCCATGTTGGGCATATTTGGCATATTTGGCATGTTGGGCATTCCCATGAATCCGTTCATCATGTTCATGCCGCCGAAGCCCATCATGGGGTTCATGGGCATGCCATTCATGCCGTTCATACCGTTCATCATCGCTTGCTGTTCTTGTTGTTTTTGCATGGCCTTCGGGGCCTTGGGAATCTTTGGGTTCTCCATCAACTCATCAGCGGGTCGCTTCTTTGAGCTGGACTCGACCGATGAGGCACGATCGGCAGGACCAGTTGGGGCGTTCGCTGGTGTGGCCGATGCTGACTTTGGCGTACCGTCGTTTGTTGGTGCGGCGGCGGGAGCAGCGGCAGTGGCAGCGGCAACGGATGGCGATTTCTGGGGCGTAGGCGACTTTGTGGTTCCGTTCGCCATCTCTGACTTGACGTCCTCTACTTTGTCCTTGGGAGACGAGGCCGCTGCCGCCGGCGAGGCTGCGGCGGGGCTTTTGGCCTCGGTCTTTTCCTTGAGGAACTCCTTGATCTTGTCGGCAGCCTCCTCATCAGCCTTCAGGTCGTCGATCAGGACACCTTCCGTAGAGCAGTTGGGGCAGATGAAGTCCGATTCGATGAGAGCATTAGTTATGCAATCATTGCAATACGTCTTCTGGCAGCACGGGGTCTTCATTGGTTCTATGAACATCTTCTTGTCGATCGGGCACTCGAGTCCCTTCTCCTGCAGCTCCTTGTCTCCCATAGCGATTGCCTTGGCAGCGGAGGCTGAAGACTTGGCCTTGGCCTGGAACTGTTCCCACGATGCCTTGTCAGGCTCGGCGATCACAAATTCTCCTTCAGCATTGACCATAATGCCTGACGGTCTCTTGGTCTCATCGTCTCCGCTCTGGGCAAGGGCGACCGACTTGTCAACCGTCCGCAAGAACGATCTCGGAATACCAGTCGTGCGCTTCACACGCGGACGGTTATCAAACTCCGGGTCATCGTTTGTTGGGCACAGCTGGATCCAGTGACCCTTCTCTCCACAGCGGTAGCAGATGTAACCGTTGGGCGGGTCGTGATCAGGCACGTTAGCTGGCTTCTTGGAGCCTGGTTTGAACACTGGGGTTTGACTGTAAACAAGTTAGCTAATACCGACTGACGCCTACACGTGGAAACCTACTGTGACATCTCTTCTTGCTGGGCCGACCACGACTCGGTCTGCGCCTGGAACATAGCAGCCATCTTTTCTTCCTCGGTCATAGCGTTGTTCATCTGGCTAATGGCGTTGGACGCCGCCTTGGCCGTGGCCGTTTTTGTCGTTTGCTCCTTGCGAGAAGAGTTCTTAGCAGCGACAGGCATCTTGCCAGAGACATATCGAGCACCACGGCCTGCGCCAGGTTTCGCAGCTGGAAGGCGACGAGCGACAACTGTGGTCGATCTGGGGATAATCGTGGTGTCATCGTCGTATTCTGGAAGTTTGTTAGAACAGATTACTTGCAACCCACATAACAGCAACAAGACATACCTTCACTGCCATCCTCAGAGTAAATGGCGAGGTCAAAGTCAGTGCCGTCGCCTAGGCCACTCTTCAAAATGATGTCGCGCTTCAGCTCGAAGACGGAAATGCCGGTGCCATCGAATTCAACTCGCGTCGGCTCCTTCTGCGACTTGAATTTGAAGAAAACGGAGGACGCCATGATGTCTCGTGCTTCGTAATATGGTCACAAATGTAGACCAAGATAATACGTCGAAAGCAATACTGTGCGTGGTCAAGTTTTGAAAGCGGCGATGGCGATGATAAATAAGCGAGCGACCACGAAGACGCAACGCTACCTTAAGGTGAGTAGAGAGTGACTTGATGCTAGTAATTTTTCTTGCTTTTTGCGTAATCTCTCTTGCGCTCAGCACCTCTCAAGAGTAATAGAAAATCAATTCTGATTTACTTGCAAGAACAAGGAAATAGGGTTGTGGAGTGTAGAGAAAGAGTACAATGCCAAAGAGGCCGACACCAGTTGGAGAATAGGCAGCCCTTTGAGTGAATCCCTCCTTACATCCAAATCACCTCGACACCACGCGTACCATCAGTCGAGAAGCCTCAGTTAGCCAAAGCAAGTTTCCTGGTCAGTATTCCGTTCGATGCGAGGGTGATCGCAGACGCTCTTGTATCTGGAAGGGGGCAAGGTCGAGATGAGGGAAAATGGTCGCTGCTGAGCGAGCGGGCACTTGCGTCGCTAGTCGGTGGCAGTTCGGGGCGTGTCTGGTCGTCTATTCGGCGGTAGCAAAAAGTTGCACAGCCGTATAAAGAGCGGATGGTTCGCAGCAGGGCGCGATGTCGCGGTCGAAGACTCAGAAAGGAAGCGATGTGGTGGCTGAGATGTTCGTGGAAGGAAAAAGAGGAGTAGAGCAAAGGGGGAGGAGAAGACATATAGCCGGCTTTGATTGCAGGCAGAGACGGAGAAAGGTGCACCAGGGAACCCACTTGAGTCCTGCCACCTGATTCTGTAGCACAATGCTGGGCAGGTCGCCTCCAGTGCCGGGGCAGCTGGGTGGCACGTGAGCTGCCGGAATTTCTAAGCAAGAGTTTCTCCGCGATCTGGCACTTCGAGTGGATCTTCAAGTTGAGTTCGGCAAGTGCCGTTGTGATCACAGCCGCAGGCTGAGTCATCCACTGAGGGAAGAATTCGCCTACCCACAAGTCACGTGCTGCAGCACGCAAAAGTTCTTTCGCTGGGTCTTAGCGTCTCCACGCCTTAGCAAAGAGCAGGTCCCTTCTTGCTGATACGCCGTTGCTTGCCGAAGCACGCATTGAGATAACCCCGCCATCCTGAGTAGCAGCTGTGGGTAGGTGCATGTGGTGGTACTCTGGTGTTCCCTCCCGGTGCAGCAGAAATCTGGTCAGCTCTATTGCGCCCGATGTAGAAGGTCCAGTCCGGCGTCATGCCCCGCACCTCATTGTTCAGAGGTCTTGCCCGCCCTCAGACGACCAGAAAGTTTGTTCCTACATCTCCCAAATCCCTCCCGTGTTGGCAGTCGATATCTCATTCTCGCCGTCACTACCTCTCTCCAGCAATACAAGCACACCAAGCTCGCAAAATGGCTCCCCAACTTGACGGCTACTTCAAGCAGGTCGACGCCGACTCTGACCATTTCATCGAGCGCCTCCGGAAGGCCGTTGCGATCCCCTCCATCTCTGCCGATGTCGAGCGTCGTCCCGATGTCGTCAGGATGGGCGAATGGCTCGCTGCCGAGCTGAAGGCCCTTGGTGCCTCTGTCGAGCTTCGACCCCTCGGCGAGCAGCCCGACAAGCCTGGTCTGCAGCTGCCCCCCGTCGTCCTTGGAAGATACGGAAGCGATAAGAACAAGCGAACCATCCTGGTTTACGGCCACTACGACGTTCAGCCCGCTGAGAAGACCGACGGCTGGGCGACCGAGCCTTTCGAGCTGTCCGTCGATGATAAGGGTAGAATGTTTGGCCGTGGTGCCACCGATGACAAGGGACCCGTGCTTGGCTGGTTGAACGCCATTGAGGCTCACCAGAAGGCCGGTATTGACTTCCCCGTCAACCTTCTCATGTGCTTTGAGGGCATGGAAGAGTATGGCTCTGAGGGCCTTGACGACCTTATCAACGCAGAGGCCAAGAAGTACTTTGCTGACGCCGATGCTGTCTGCATTTCTGACAACTACTGGCTTGGAACCGAGAAGCCCTGCCTGACCTACGGCCTCCGTGGCTGCAACTACTACTCTGTCGAGATCTCGGGCCCCGGCGCCGACCTGCACAGCGGTGTCTTTGGTGGTACTGCCCAGGAGCCCATGACTGACTTGGTTCGTGTTCTCGGCTCTTTGGTTGATACCGATGGCAAGATCCAGATCCCCGGCATCAACGAGCAGGTTGCTGCTGTGACCAAGGAGGAGGAAACTCTCTACGACGGTATTTCCTTCACCATGGAGACTCTCCAGGAGTCCCTCGGCAGCAAGACTACCATCTTTGAGGACAAGAAGGCCACTCTCATGGCCAGATGGCGCTACCCCTCCCTCTCCGTCCACGGTATTGAGGGTGCCTTCTCTGCCCCTGGTGCGAAGACCGTCATTCCTGCCAAGGTTACTGGCAAGTTCTCCATCCGCACCGTGCCCAACATGGAGATCGACGCCACCAACGAGGCTGTCTACAAGTACGTCAATGAGCAGTTCGCGAAGCTCAAGAGCAAGAACACCATGAAGGTCTGGGCCCAGCACACTGGCAAGTGGTGGGTTGCTTCGCCCAAGCACTGGAACTTCTCTGCTGCCGCCAAGGCCACCGAGCGTGTCTGGGGCGTGCAGCCTGACTTCACTCGTGAGGGTGGAAGGTATGAAACCCATCTCTTGTGCGCTTCTGAGTGTTTGCTAATAGAATGATCTAGCATTCCCGTCACCCTGACTTTCGAGCAGGCCACTGGCAAGAACGTCCTTCTTCTGCCTATGGGCAGCTCCACTGATGGCGCCCACTCCATCAACGAGAAGCTGGACAAGCGCAACTACATCGAGGGCATCAAGCTTCTTGGCGCCTACCTGCACTACGTCGCTGAGGAGCCCACCGCATAGATCGGCACTGAGTCTGGCGAGATCTTACACCAAAATCAACTAGGAACCGCGATTTAGGCCATGTACATTTAGTCAGGTGTGCTTCCAAATAACCAATGGCGGTCGCGCTCGGATTGTAGGCCGCTTATGCCGGCATGCTGTAAGCGCAAACATAGCGCGGCAGTAGGCCATCAGCCGGTTCATCAGGTTGTTGCAGATTTGCTTCGAGTATTCACTGCAGGGGTTAAATCATAGGTCACGTAATCAAAATACCCAAACAAAGTCATATCAACCATGGTCCATTTGATTATTTCTAGATGCGAAGGGTATTATATCGTGAGGTGTCATACTAAATGTCTGGCAGTCGTGGTATTGGTCGTGTGTCTCATGTGCCAGGAAACCCAAGAAACCCAAAAACGCCGGTGGGTAATGAAGCCAAGTATGGCAGGGGCTATATCGTGAAATAATTGTGGGAGGGGGTATCACAGCTTCCTCGAAGCTTTACTTCTTCCGCGCCGCCGTCACTCGGCGGTTTCGCCTCTTGGCTACGACCTCTGGGTCCCAGTTCCCAGAGAACATGTCCTCAAGGTCATCCTCATCCTCGGAATCAAACACAACCTCGACCTCGTCCTCTTCTGACTCACCCCCCTTGCCAGCGCCCTCCGCGGCGTCGGCATCATCCTCTTCGCGCCTGTCGTCGACCTTCACCTCGTCACCTTCTTCGTCGGACTCCTCATCATCCTCGGAGACATTGTAGTAATCAGCCGAGACGTCCTCCCAGCTGCGGAAGGGCACGACGCGCTCCACCTCGAGGATGAACTTGCCGACCTTGTACTTCTGGCTGAGCTCCTTGGCGTCGACGTACTTCCAGCCGAGCTTGGCGCTGCAGAGGGCGCAGGTGATGTCGGCGACGACGTGCCAGCCCGTGACGAGCTGGCGGTTCTCGCACTTGCCGATGCGGACGTTGGCAAGGGACCCGGGGCCGGCTGGGCCGTTGTTCGTCTTTGCGGGCGGCGCCACGCCGCCGGAGATGGGTGCGGAGGGTGGAGGTGTCGGCGCGACGAGGTATGCGCGCCCGTAGCGGCCCGTGAAGCCTTTGCTAACGATCTGGGAGGAGAAGGCGACATCGCAGGAGCAGGTTGAGCAGCGGAGGGTGTCTGGTTGGATGCGCGCCAGGGAAGGGCGGGAGGGTCTGGTTCTCGCGGATTTTGTGGTCGTAGACAGGCTGTCAGTGGCTGTGGTGGGGGTGGTTATGGCATCTTGGTATGACGGCGGTAGCGGGGGGCTGTTTGGCGGGGTTACGGTCTCGTCGGTCGTCGACGATGTTGGCGAGGAGCTAAGAGAAGGCACCTGGCTTGCTTCTGGCGTTGAGGCAGAACCCGATGTCGATGTCGAAGTCGTGGAAGCACGGCGACGAAAGGGGATGTTGAAGCTGGGGAGGAGGTAGGTCGGGAACGTGGGCCGGGAGACAACGATGTTGGGCGCCATCGCGATGATTCTTTTAAAGGGAGGCCCGCTCTGCCTTCGGAGCCCGATCCGAAGGCGTCGTTTGGTTTCTTTGTTGGGAAGATTCGCTAACCTATGCACTATGGCGTCCGAGGAGTTGCTTTACGTGGGAGAGGGCGGCGATCGTGGAGGGTCCAACCATGGTTCTTCAACGCGCAGGAGTGTGTTGAAGAGGAGGGATGTAAGTGGCACAGGGACTGTGGACGGTTCAAGGCGAGGAAGGCATGACTTTTGGGACGACAAGGCTAAGGGTTTTTGTTTTCTCCTTCTGCAGAGATTGGGTTCTGCGCGAGCGGAGGGGCTGGGTTTGGGGGGAAAGGTCATGTACAGGTGCCCCGTGTGATGGAGGGTTGGAGGAAAGGCGCAAAGGTAGGAGGAGCAGGGAGGAGAGAGTGGGCAGAGGGATGCGGCACGAGACAGCGGACACGGCGGGATGGAGGGGTCTGACTACTCTTGGGGGCCGGGCTGCTCGAAGGGCAAGTAAGGTATCAAGGTAGAGCGAGTGTATTGGTGTAACGGTGTAAGGCGGGCGGCAGTCAGCGATTCGAGCGTCACTTGTTGTTCCCTGGTCTTATTACCGTCCCGTTGCGCGATAGCCCCCCGCCTGTTTTGCGGTGAGGGACGACGTGTGTGAGATATCAAAGGTCTGGGCGGACGTCGGACATGCGGGTATCAGATCGGTATCTCGTTTTGCTGCGACACAAGGCCGGAACCTGCGTATGCTCTTTTACACCAGATTAAGCATGGCGGAAAAAAGGAACTGGAGGAGGGTTGTGCATGTACAGCCTCCTCCTCTCTTCTTTGCTAAAGCTCATGGGAGAGAGGATGCGAACGAAAGCCGACCATCTCTTGGAGCATATGGTACAGTCTCAGATGACACGACCTTCGGAGGTGCGGGCGGCGGTCTCATCGCATGGGATGGGCGATCAGCAGTGCGCGGTACGTCCGGGCAGGCAGATTGCGTTGGCTTAAAGATGGTGTACAGTATGTCCGGCGTCTGCTGTGGCTCGACAATTCTCCACTCGCCTCTCGATTGCTGCAGTGCAGCCCGGCGTTTATCGATAACGCAAGCGTGAGCCGATAAGAGGGCGGGAAGAGGTGGGGAAGGGCGGGTCGTGGGTATACTTGGGTTTTGGAGGTTGGCGTCGGCAGCGAGATGGGTGAGTTTTTGCAGCTGTGGTGTGTGTCACTAGACTCACAAGCGTGGATGATCACCTCATCTGGCCGCCATCAGATGTGACCTCCAAAACCTCCAACGACTGGTTGGGAGGGTGTCATGGTTTGGAGGAAGGGGTCCCCCCACCTCATTTCTTGAAGGAGAGAGACACTGGAGGGCGCCGTGCTGGAGACGGCAGCGCCTGAGAGGGCGGGGAAGAAAGTCAACTCAAAAACAGCTTCTGGAATGAGCGACGTTTTGTTTCGGAATTCCTGAGGTTGTTGATAGTGGGTGCGGGTGATCGAGGCTGTGTTCCGAGTACCTCTTGGTGGGTTGGAACTGGCATGGAGTTGCCCGTCGGAGGTGGCGGACGAGATCATTCCAGCTTTTCGCTCGGGTTCGGTGAGTGAGGGGTGATCATATGGCCCGTTGTCGTAGTTCGTGGCGGCTGACCGAGCTTGGCCGATGCCGACCTGGATATCTCTCTAGCTAGGTATCGTGACTGCGCCCTTCTTACTCCATTGCTCGCAACATGGTACTTGACTGCCTCACGCCTTAGCCAAAGATGGACAACACACTGGCCGGTTATTCTTAGTCTACTGTGATGCATCAAACTCACCATTGTCAATAGGCGAAATGTCCACCACTTATGCGACTCAGAAGAAATGCAACAATGAGCGACCTGGGCGATGACTCGCAACCAAGAAATTGTGGGGGAGCAGCCGGGCATCAGAACGGTCAAATGACCCGAACGGAAACACGGACCCCAACCCTGCACACGTCCACTTTCCACTCATTGCGTCCTCGCTCCCATAGTATTCGAGGGGGGCATATTGATGATTGGCATGGCATCCTTCCTAATCCCGGTTTTATTTAGGTGGTGACCAAGGAACCAACCGTCGTCGCGCTATGCTCCCGGGCGCTGGCCTGTCACGATTACACGGCCGAGGGCGCGGAAGTGGCCTCCGACCATGCCGGGCGCCGGGGACTCACACAACATCGGGGTTGGCATTGCATCAACGGCCGAATTGTTTTTACTAAAAGTTCTGCGTACCACGACGCGACGCCGGGCGTCTGCATTAGAGAGATGACGAAGGACGTCTCGAAATTGGGGATGGAATGATGACCCAAAGGCTAACCCTATGTCCCGATGATTCGATCTCTGCGCTTATCTGTCACTGACGCGCAATGATCGATAGATTGGGTGTTTGAGATCCATTTGTCGGAGTTCCTCGCCTTGGCCAACCTGTGACTCAATAACTCAGAAACTGACAAACCGGGACACAGAGGGCAAGATTACGCATTGTTGTGGAATCCATCACCACACAGGAGGCAAACACTGTGATACTGTATGGCGCATCATCGTGGCCAAGAGGGAGAGCAGCACACCGTTCCCATCGAAACAGGCCCATCCAAAATGCTGGGTTGGTGCTGGTGCTGGCGCACTGAGGGGCTGGGCTGGGTTTGGAGCTGTCCACGTGCATACGAAGTGCGTCCCACGGCCTTGTTCGATTGGCAGGCGCCCGCAGCCAGCATGTCAAAGTGCCAAGCGCCGCGCCGCCGGACCCGGATTGGGAGCGTCCACCCGACTTTTGCTGATTGCTGGCGAGAATCGAATGGAGGGGACGGGACGGTCTCTGTCGACAGTCCGTCCCACTGGCCCGGAAGCAATTGAGGCAAAATGAGACACATGGAGTTATTGGGGGCTAGAGACGAAGAGGGCGAGATGTTCCAACAAACGGTCAGACTTTTGAGCCTGGAATCTGGAAAAGCCCAACGCTCGTGGGCAACGGAGACCAATGCAATGCAGCCCAAGAGAAAACGTGCTCGCTCGACAGTGCAACATGGACGTCGCGCATTGCCAATGGGCTCCAGCCGGTTTCGTCAGCCTAGGCTAGTCGTCTCGGGCGCCCCCCATTGCTGAGACCTCGAAGCGGGAACAATGAGCAGGCTGGAACCTTCTCCAAGACGCACCTGACAATGTTGGTCAATGGCAAAACAAACAGAAGGAAAGGGGACCCTGAGGATTTGGCATGGCGATGTATGTGTGCATGTACGTAAACTTTCAGACGTCGAATTCCAGACCGATGAGTCGAGAGTTTATTGTTCGACTGGACGACTGGGAAACGAGCCAAGACGTGGAGGTGGAAGCATGCAGTGCATTGGAGGAAAAGGACATGGGTCCGCCGCGGAAAGGAAGGGGTGGAGAATAGCCACGGCTGATTATGACTGTATCTGAGTGGTCCCCTTCTCCTCACCTCCATCCACTACTGGTGGGCTTTTTTGAGTGGTCGCCCCCCTTTTGAGGTAAGCCCCTTGGCCGCCATTGAGTGCAGCTTTGGGCTGTGGTTGCGCTGCAGCAGGAGCCTGCAAAGACCTGCCGCACTGTGGTCCCCTTGAGTTGGGTTCTCCGCCACGCTAGATGTTTCCACAGTTTCTGAGCAATTCCTGCTGTGTCTCCTCTTGGGTTTTTATTCACCGACCGCCCGCGCGCTGACCTTTTCTCGTCTCTTTCCAATCTCCCCCCATCGCTTCACCGCTGATATATCTCGCCTCACCCGCAACTACCGCCGTCCCAAAAAGAATTCAAGACGACCAACAAATCTTCTCGCTCACGCTACCAAAACAACAAGCAATCAACCATCATCGACAGCCTCACCAGCTAAACAACACACGCAAAACCCAATTCGCTCGAATCTACTCCACCCTGACCACTATCGTCGCTACCTCATCCGCCTCACTTTTCAGAAAAGTCCGCCACCAATCAACCCCCCCCATCGACGAACGGTTCCGAATTCCCGAGAACCGACTCAATCCTCAATATCAAAACCAACACAAAGTTTCCAGCAACCAACCCCGAGAAATCAATTGCAATGGCGCCCATGAATCAGCAGAGTAATTACTCTAGTAGTAATTATGGTGAGGCCATTGTCCGTCAGGCCAATGTCCTCGCCAGCTGCTACATTGTCGATTCTGCCGCGACTCTTCGCGGTCTCCACTACTGCACTACCGGGGCCGCAGGTATGTAGCATTCTCCCATTCCACGGCACATGATCATGTCTCTACTCCTTCCCCCGCACGCATGCCCATCTCCAGCCTCAATCTCGAGACAAGAACGCCGATCGGTCGGCTTGTCTCTCCTTCCCCGTCATCCCCACTCCCATGCATTCTCGCTCACCCGAAACTCTGGAAACGCCGAGACTGACATCTGCTATCAACAGGGGCCGAGTGGTATTCCTGAGGTCCCCTCCTCAGGATTACCATCTCCTCCGTCAAGTCCCCCCCTCGCGGCTATCACGGCGTCCAACGAGCTCGCGCTGCTTCCCAAGGCCAGCAGCAAGCGTCGCGACGCCGTGCCAGGCAAGCGAATTAGCCGCCGAGGGGGGGCGGCACTCTCGATCAGGGAAGAATGTGAAAGGTTCTTTTGCGAGTCCATGAGGGCTGTGTTCCGCGGTGAGACGGACACTGGCCCCCGTGGCTCCGGCCTGCATCAGGGTGTTTATAACAACAATGGCAGCACGAACGCAACAATGCTGCAGACTCCGCCGCCCGACGAGGACCTCGCCGTCCAGCCGCACTCCTTTGGGGGTCGGTGCGAGGTCGCGGACGGAAACCCCATGGCGTCTTCCGCCCCGGCCCCGGCCACGGCGTGGTTGGAGGTGTGGGACTTCGCCGGCGGTGCGAGTTTCCGGGCCTTTGTGGCGGACGACGGGACCGAAAAGTCCCTGTTCGCCTTGTTTGACAGGAACGTCATCGGACGTGACCTGAAGCCAGCGTATGTATTTTCTTTCCGCGGCCTCCCGCCTCTTCGAGTGTTGAAACTGACATGTCTCTAGGCTTATGGCGCTGATGGAATTGGTCGACGGACCCCTCGATTGCCAACACCTGGTCATCTGCATCGACCGGGGCATCGAGGAGGAGGACGCGAAGTCGCTGATGAAGAGCCTGCAGTGGGTTGGCTTCGAGCTGACGACGCTAGACCACTGGGCACGCGATGTGGACGTGACGAGCAACCAGTGGCTGTTTATGAGCATGGAGATCTAGCATTACCCGGGCCTCGTCCGTTCGCGTTTTGTCTTGGGTTCTTTTGGGTTCATAAGCTAGGCAGTTTGGGAGTTTCCCCCTTGTTTTCATCTCCTTCGGCTTCGTCGTGGTTTTACCCCTTTACGGTTCAACTCTCTACTTTTGTCCGCCGTTCGGCTTCCGTACCTTGCGTCCTCGACAGAGGGCTTCCGCATTTACTTGTTCTTCTCTTCTTTGCGTACAGAAACAGCTTAGGTTTAGGACACCACCAGCATGGCACAGGTGGGGGGGGGGGGGGAAGGGCACCGTCAAAAAATGCATCAAGCAGAAATTGGATTTCAGTCTCGTGTTTTCATGGTATTTTCTTTTTCTCTCTACTGTACCAGTATTCGAGAGTCAAAAAGTTGGTGGGACTGTTTCCGCTTCTCCTCTTTTTTTTCCTTCACTCGGCCATGGAGTTTCATCATTGCTGGTGGGGAACTTTTCTCATCTTTGGATCGCTTCATGGGATTGCTTTTTCTTGGGCTCCTTGGGATGGTTCTCTTTTTTGTTTCTTTTTTCCCCGTCCACTTTGGTAGTGGGGGGAGCAGTTCGTAAAGTCTGGTTAGGGGTTATTGACGTATACCATCTCTATAATCGGGCGCGCACTCGTCATATCGGAACCCCAGGCTTGTCCGTAACACCGCAGTCAAAAAAGCTGAAACTTTTACAAACGTAGTCTCTTCTCCAAATGCTGTGCTTCATATCATGGTCTCCCCAATTTTTTTTTGTGAAATACACGGTTTTTGTGGACATCGCGCCGTAGGCCGGTGTTTGTTTATATGCTCTCCTCAAACTGCCTCACCTTGAGCCCCTTTTCGCGCAGGAAATCCTTGACCTGCTTGACCGTGTACTCGCCGCGGTGGAACATACCCGCGCCCAACGCCGCGTCGGTCGTCGTCTTCTCAAACACCTCCTCAAAGTGCATCGGGTGGCCCGCGCCGCTGGACGCGATGACGGGGATCTCGACAGCCGCCTTGACCTGGGAGATGAGCTCGAGGTCGAAGCCGCTGTTGGTGCCGTCCTTGTCGATGCAGTTGAGCAGGATCTCGCCGGCGCCCATGGCCTCAACGGCCTGCACGAGCTCGACGACGTCCATGTCGCGCGTCTCGCGGCCGCCCTTGATCGTGCACGCATACCAGCAGTACTCCTCGCCCTTGGGGCCCCGGGTCGCCGTCTTGATGATGTTGTGTCGCGTCGCGTCGGGCTTGGGCACGTACACGCGCTTCGGGTCCACGGAGACCACGACGGCCTGGTTGCCGTAGGCCTTGGAGATCTGCTCAATGGCTGTGTTGCCGAACAGCTTGCGGCCCGCGCCGTAGTACTCCTCCGCCGCGAGCACGGCATCGGAGCCGATCGAGACCTTGTCGGCGCCCGACTTGAAGTACATGGTCGCGATCTCGAGCGCCGAGACCTTTGTGCCGTCCGTGTCGACGGTGTCGCGGATGCCGCCGCCGATGGTCAGCGGCACAAAGACGGTCTCGGAGGTGCGGCGCAGGATCTCGAGCATGGGCACGTCGACCAGCGGGCAGTCGCGGAAGCTGGTGATGTTGAGGAAGGTGACCTCGTCGGCGCCCTGCTCGTAGTAGCGCCGCGCCATCTCGACGGGCTTGCCGAGGTTGCGCACGTTGTTGCCCTCGCCCTTGTCGCGCACGTCGTACTGGTCGCCCTTTGTCACGACGAGGTCGCCCTGGTCGTTTGTGCGCACGTCGAGGCAGGCGATGACGCGGCGCGTCAGGCCGTCCTGGAAGGGGACCGCCTCGGCGGAGGGCGTGATGACGGAGCTGCCGCCTGCCAGGGCGACGGCGCCGGAGCCGTCGAGGAAGGCGCGGAGGCAGCGCAGACCAGCGGCTCCCGACTTCTCCGGGTGGAACTGCGTCGCGAAAATGTTACCCCTGGCGAGGGCGCCGACGAAGGTCTCGTCGCCGTAGGTGCCCGTCGCCACGGTCCAGCCCTGGGCCTCGAGCTCGCCGCGGATGTAGGGATACTTGTACGTGTGGACGTAGTAGTACTTGGAGTCCGGTTTAAGGCCGTAGAGACTTGCGCCGCCCGTGTTGGCGCTGTTCCAGCCGATGTGAGGGACGGACTTATCGGACGACTTGAAGCGGTCGAGGCGGCCCTTTGCGACGCCGAGGCCGGGGACGTCAGGGTCTTCAGCCGAGCCCTCGAAAAGAGCTTGGATGCCGACGCAGATGCCCATGAAGGGCTTGCCTGAGGCGATGTGGGCGGAGATGGCGGGGAGGAAGCCTGCTTGGGCGAGTTGGGAGAGGCAGTGGCCAAAGTGGCCGACGCCTGGAAGGATTAGTTTCTGATCGCGGGCCGTGGTGGTTAGCTTTAGACAATTGTTGAAGATATTAATGGTTGTCAATGACATACTTCTGCTGAAGGAACATCTTCGGGTCTCCTAATCCACTCGACTTCGTAGCCGACCTTCTCGATGGCGTTCACCAAGCTACGCACGTTGCCCGCAACATAGTCCAGCAGGTGGACCTTTGGCATGGTGGGCAGACTGGATCTCGATCGAATGGGAGGCTGGGTATATGATAGATAGAATGGAATGCGAGTCAAGCTTCAGAACGAGTGGAATGCGCCGTTATAAGAAGCGTAGTTCGCCGGGGAATGGAAGGAGCTGTGAGTCAAGTGGTGGGATGTGCTAGTAGTCCGCCCTTCCCTCAGAGTCATTGCAGGGGAAATTTACTTGCGATAGCGGGGCAGAGGGGTTGCGAGCAACACTGTGAAGACCAGACGCAGTGCCCCGCATCAGACCGGTACCTAGAGGCCCCTGTTCAATTTACCGTTGCCCTGTCGTAATCTGCCGCCGGGTTGACTGGGGCAGCAGCTTCCTTGAACAGGAAATCTGCTTCAATCAATTTGATTGAGCTTCCTCAAATTTTCTACACTGTAACCACCCTTCTAAAGATGGGCTTCGCAATTAAACCTGGAGCTCCCTGACGTATTTTACGACTTCGATCTGGGTGACATCGACTCTGAATTTCGCGCCGAATCGAATTCGATGCACGAATTCCACTATTCGGTCGGAGTCTTCTTCCACAGATCGACGCGATAACATGGCGACCAACGCGCCCACATCTTCAGTCGCGCCGGTGATGGCGGCGACGGCGCCTGCGGACCAACCACCCAAAGCGCCCACCAAGACCGACGATGGTGATGAATCGGAGTGGGAGTACGAGTACTCGACCACTGAGACCGAGGTAGGGCTGTCGTGACAATCGCGGCTCGAATATGCAATTGCTAACAGGCCCAGACATACTACCTGACTGTCGACCTCTCGATCCCCCAGCTCCTACGCCGAAAGCGAAATGCACCGGTCTCCGGTCGGGGAGGTTATCACTACAAACACTGGGCAGGCCCTCACCGAAAACCCGACGAGCCGAAACACCACCGCATCCTGTCGGACGACGAGAACGATGACGAGCCCACGGCGGAGCCTGAGGAAGACGAAGAGATGGACCAGGGCCAGATGGATCCGAACGCTGACGGCTTCGACGCAGACTTTGAGTCTGACCCGGCTGCCGACATACAGATCCTGGACCTACACTCTGACAAACCCATGTTCGCATACAAAGGGAAGGTTTTCGAGGGGCAGTGGTCACGCAACCTGGGCACGGAGGTCATCTTCACAGAACACGATCCGGAAAATCCCATCCCTGCTCTACGCCATCTCCAGGGTGGTGTGGACATGCTCGCAGCCAGCTGGTCACGCATCAACACAATGGAGAGGCGGCTGGAACCGAAGCATGAGGCGGCAGCCAAGGACGACCCTTTGAAGGAAATCAGAAGGCAGAACGGAATCCATATACCCATCACAGCAGACAAAACAGGCGAGCGAAAACGACAGACAAGGTTTCTGGAGAATCTAATGGCGCTGAAGGTTAAAAGGGGCGAAAAGGACGAAGTGACAGTGTACGCGCATGCAGCTCCGAAGCAAATCAACGAGGGCACGAACAGCCGAAGGAAAAGACGGAAGCCGTTGCCGGACGGCAGGCCGAAGAAGCGTCGGGGTCGCGGAGGCGGCGTCCGCGGGAGAGGTGGTCTATCGACGATGGAGGTCGGGTCTGACAGCAAAGCAGAGCCAGGCAGCGCAGCCGAGGCCGCGGCTACTCGAGAAGGAACCTTGTCTACGCCTACGCCAATAACATGGGCAGACCTGAGTGGACATGCCGAAAGGGCGGGCACGGCTGCAGGCCCCAACGACGATGATGAAGCAAGCGAGAACGACACTGATGACTACGAGGAAGGTGGGGACCTGGAATAGGCAATCTGAGCATACGCCCTCCAATCTGTAGACGAGGTGTATCTGATCGACGGCACGAACTTTGCACTCACGACTGATCTCGCGATCCTAGTTGAGCACCAGCGTAGCCAGCTGGGGGCAAGCGTAGCCGCTTTCCAATTAGACAGTGCCTCGGATGGGACGGTGAAACTACGTGACGGTATTACGAGGCCTGAGGGCCCTCCCGCGGCCGGGCACTCCTGGGCTAACACATGGTTTTGTGGAGAGACCTGCATGTAGGCATGATGTGGTCAGGCTGAAGAGAGTCGGGGAAACCGTAGGCCCGGAAGCAAACCTCGACACCACAGGAAACCCCAACGGCTGCACTTAGGCAGCAGACTTGACGAACTACCACAGTATGATCACCCGGAAGTCTGCAACGCCTGCGGCAGTGGATGCGCCAGAGGGTCCGCCTCTGTATGGGCGGTGCTTGGACCGAGGAACCGCTTGTGAAAACCCCATAAGAACGAGGGAATTATCTGGAAATAAGAATAAGAATAAAAGGCCTCAAAAACGGAGGAGCTTCCTCTACTAGTTACATAATAGTTGGTGGATGCCGGCAGACGGTTGAGCCCTGCGTGAGCAAAGTCATCCCGGTGTGTCACTCTCGAAGCACCTACAGGCGCACCCACAGCCAGCTCACATGCAATCTCTTTACTGGAGAATGCCGCTCGTGATGGCCACAGGGATCGCCTGGTCGCTACGCTGCAAAGACTCGGCGACGGGTGGAGGGCAGGGCCAGCGGCGCGGCAAACGGGACCTGGCAAGCCGCAAGCCTGGCTTCTCCTCGTGGGAATCTGCAGGGTTCTGGTTGGTCCCGCAGATCTGAACCCTCCGCATGAGGTACCTGGAACCTTACCGCATTCCTCGCTAAGCACCTGAGCTGCGAGGAGAGATACCTGCCTCGGTAGGGCGCGTCCCGCAGAGAAACATGTACCTCTCCCCCTTCTGTTCAATACAGATCCCCATTCCTTGGTCGGGTGGCGGGCTGCATCAACGACGTCCAGCCAGTGGGACGTCCATCCGCCCCCTCCAATCCGTCCCTGATTCCCTGCTGCCGCTGTCGTTCTCACCGTCGCCCGCGCATCCGCTAGGTCCCGTCCAAAACCCAGCCCAAAGCTTGCTGCAGCCTTTCCCTTTCTTCCTCGTCCTCTTGTCCATAAACTTTCCTCGATCAAGACAACACAAAACACACAAAACACCATCCAAGGGGCCTCAGCGTTCCGTCGGCCATGCATATCCGCTCGCACCTCCCACCTTCGACATCTTTGTAGCGGTTCACACTTGGTGATGCTGCACGAGACTCCGCTGGCTTCCGCAAGACGTGCCGGCATCCCGAAGCCCCTCCGAGCCATCATCACTCAGCCTCCGTAGCCACCAATACCATATTACCAGTCGACGCGGCCCAACCGCCCTTCGATTGCCCGTCTTTTCACGAAGCACACCTTAAACTGCGCGGCCTGGAGCCAACACGACCGTTCCGATGTATTACCTACGCCGCATCACTATCCTCTTCGCCCTGCTAGCCTCTGTCTCGTTCCTAGCATGGTTCCTGCCTCGATACCTCAATCCGAACCCGCCAGACCCCGTCAAGCAGCGCGAGGACAGGAGATGGGTTAACAGCAGCCCCTACTGGCTCGACCGCCAGGCCTGCCGATGGCTGAGTCTTTGCGGTGTTCACCATCTCTCGTGGGATCCTGCCTCTCTCTTCCCCTACAAGAACGACTCCGACGCCGGCGACTTGCGCCTAGAGCTGAGGTCCCTCGATGGACGGCACTCCGGCTGGGAGACAGCACCCCAAAAGCGGTCGCCGCGGGACGACAAGGAGGAGAGGAGGAAGGTTTTGAAGGAGATCCCCGGCTATGTTCTCGAGTATGCGCCGCTCGTCCACCTCTACTCCGGCGAGAACTTCTGGCCCTCCGACATCGCCGAACACATTCGACACATGACGCCCTACCTGGAACAAGAAGCTTTGAACCGCTCTCTCGTTCTGTCGGAATTGCATACACTCAACAAGGAGGACGGCATGGTCTACCTCACAAGCGACGATGACGTCGAGCAGAGACCCGAGTGGCTGCACAGCCACGTCGGTATTCCCGAACCCTGGAACGATGAGGGGGACGACGACGGAAGTGATGATCACGATAACAATGATCGCCCGACTGAGGATTCTGATCGTCCGCAACCTCCCACAGAAGACACAACATGGTTTGACGTATCTCGCGATCACCCTGTTCACCGCATCTCGGACCCTCGTCGCCTAGCTCCACAGTTTGCACCCGCCTCCGCTCGTACAGGCGGCTTCCACCTCCGTCGCCGGGACCAGGACCAGAAGCCGATTCCCGACACACCAACTCACAAGCCCAATCAGGAAGGCTATTCCAAGGCCCCCGCCGTTCTCGTCATCGTTGACAAGGGTTCCGGCATCGTCGACGCATTCTGGTTCTTCTTTTACTCGTATAACCTCGGTCAGACCGTCCTGACAATTCGGTTTGGCAACCACGTCGGCGACTGGGAGCACTGCATGATGCGCTTCGAGAACGGTGTGCCCCGTGGTATTTTCTTCTCCGAACACGAAGGCGGTCAGGCTTACACATATAACGCCGTTGAGAAGCGGGGTGTTCGCCCAGTCATCTATTCCGCCGTCGGATCTCACGCCATGTACGCGCAGGCCGGCGACCACCCCTACGTGCTACCCTTTGGCATGCTGAAGGACGTCACCGACAAGGGCCCTCTCTGGGACCCCGCAAAGAACGCCTACACCTACTGGTATGATTACGTCCAGGATTTGGACGAGGACCTTGATCTCGACCTTGATGACGAAGTCGACGTGGCTAGCGGCCATCGGAAGGACAACCCCACCAGTCTAGTCCCGACGGCTGAGAACCCCGACGCGCCAACTTCATGGTTTCACTACGCCGGCCCTTGGGGCGACAGGCTCTATAGTCTTGCCGACATGCGCCAATGGCGTCTTTTCGCCCAGTATCATTACGTCTCCGGGCCGTTGGGACCCAAGTTCAAGCGTCTTGATCGCGAGAAGCTGTGCATCACCAGCCGCTGCCGCATTCTCAACAGTCTGAAGCCGGGGCAGACTTGGTACAGTTAGGCAGCTGGAAAGTAATAACTAAGAAATGTACCAGAAAAGAAAGAATCCTCACGGGAACTGTCTTACGCTCGTTACGACACTCATTTCATTTTTATTTAAACGACAAACGCGACAACGGTCTCTGGTTGTCTACACGTAGATAAGCTTTCTTCTGCCAAGAGGAGGCGTCAACTGGGGCGCCTGGGTATTGGAGTTTTGCGGTGCTTTCTTGGACTAGCCTGGGCTTGATACCCTCAAACCATATTTAACTAGACGACTTTCATACGTGGCTTTTCACCTCATGCATGCGATGTATGTGAAGTGACTTCTACTCGCGAACCGTTATAGCACAATCTGCTGTAGCCGCATATGGGCAAACTGCTGGTTAATCTAGAAAAGGCAGGCTATTGCAAGTCGTTGGTGCCTATCTGGCCAGGCATCGTGCCACTGAGCATGATTTATGTGACATTGCCTTGATGGCTCCGGTATATTGCTGCCACACTTGGTCCTATACATGCTGCTGCTTCCACCTTTCCCGGTACATATACAGCTGCTCATACCGATGGCTGTCAGTCAATGACATACACCAAAAAGACTTGCCAGTCTTGAAGCAGCGAATGTTTGTAACAGGTTCTCAGGCTAATCAAATGGATGCCAAGACAACTAGCTGAAAAGCCTTGACTTCAAGAATGCATATTGATAAAGCCGGTGATAGTCAACGAACGCTTGAGGCTCCTTACAACCGTTGTTGAGGGCTTCAAAGACTGGTCCACTATGCTCTTCCTTCTGGGCTTTTCATCTACTCACAATGATGAATGCTGATATCATGATATCACCAAGAGGCCCTTCGACTTGACTTCCGCTATATTCTTTGCTCCAGTCACTTTACCGTGCTCCTTGCCCTTATGGAACCCTACCCTATCACCTACTTTGGTCTTGTTGCAGACAGGAACGATGCAAGAAACAAAACTATCTACGCTCGCTTCTGGGTCTTCCTCGCTCAGTCGCTTCTTCGTTTGTAATGACGGCAAAGAAAAATCAGTTATTCGAGCGTTTGGCCGACTCAACATATCCAGCACCTGCTCACGTAGACTTTCTAATTATTTAAGTAAATTGACCATCGTAGTGATTCAATGAAATCTGTAGCGTTCCCAGTAATCGGTTTTAGTCATACAGTCAATTGTTATGAGGAAAAATGCGATAGACAACATCCAGCGATGAGCACAACAGCATAAACCCTCACTACCAGACGCCAACCAGATGAGACATTCTCATTTTTGTAACGTTAATCGTAAGCCCAAGCAATATGATTTACCAGACGCTGGGTCTTCAACCCCCTTAGGGGCCATTTCATCGAGCTCCGTGTAGGTGAGACTTGATCTTTCTGTACCGACTAACAGCCCAAAAAAGACAACATAGAGCCACCAACTCTAGGATGAATATGGTGAGAGGACCACCCGATTGTACATACGCAAGTGCGTTGCCTGTGTGTTCCATATCATCGTTACCAATCATCGTATTTGTCGCTGCATTCCCAGAGTGGTCTAGATACCAGAAGTGCTTCGGGTCACCTATACATTCTCCTAGAGTGGTTGGCCGGAATCCCTTTTCTAGAAAACTGTCCAACAGGTAGGTAATATTCTGGCTGTTTGGGCGCCAAAGACCACGAATCGGGACGAAGAAGGAGTCTTTCGTTGGGTTTGCTGTCTTGAGCTTCTCAAGAATTTCAGATTCCCAGCCGGTGTTTTTGGTCGAACCTTGATCGAAGTCTTCTAGGTCATCATCCCAGAGGACCAGTCGTTGGCCATTTACGGTTAAGCTTTCGACGCAACCGTTGCTCACGCTGCAGCCGGTGGATGATGCCCGAACGTATACAGGCTGGAGTCCATCTAGCAATGAAGACGAAGAGAGAAACCTTTGACGAGCCTTAAGAATCGCATCGTAATCCGCGTTCTTGAACGAGCCATGTGTAGTGGTACGAAGCCCGATTAAATGTCCATTATCCAGCAGCTTCCTCACCTTAGATTCCCAACACCCCTCACACGCTTTGTTTGTGAACATAAGGGAACCACCAAAAAAGAATGTGGCATAAGCGCCATTCTTGGTAAACAAATCCACCGTTTCTTCCGCATGATCCCAAGAGTAATCGTCAAATATGAATGCTACAGTGCCTGGGACCTTGAACAATGTCAGATTTAGCATGCAATTTTGTAAGGTCATGTGACTTACGGTACATTTGCGAATGACTTGGCCATGCTTAGTTGGTATGCGGAAACTCATTTCTCTTTTCCAAGTATTAATCCTGGTTGTCCAGTAAAGATTGAGCTATTCTGCTATTCGTCTTTGCAAAGTCCAATAAATTCAGGAAGCTGAAAAGTGGTGGGCAGGGGAAAGATGGAAGGGGTTCAAGCTGATATCTGAGAGTTTCTGAGATTCTATAGCAAATAGCTTCACCTACCCCTTGAAGAAGTATAGTGGCGTCGTAATACGACTCCCACCGCCTCGGCTGTCAAAACTGTCCTGCAAAAGGCGTTGCTCCACTACTCCATATCAGGTATCGCTCCGAAAGCTTAAATAAATGAAATAAGCGCTGAGGCATTTGACACAATCTTGCTGAACGCTGTACGGTCCGTCCCCGAGCTTATCTGGCCTGCTCAAGGGTCCAATGTAACCTCCATCTGTTTCTCAAAGGTTAATATCCTTATTTGGGCTATCCCGTCGGGTGCGGCAAGACGCCATTTTTGCCGAGGTGCGGAGAATACCAGTCAAATTCGCAGCCAGTTGTTTCTGATCCAGTAGAAATTGTCATATGCAATGCTAGTTGGAGGAATACTGGAGGAAATCAACATGGCGTCGTGCCGCACCCGATGGGATACTTCAATAGCTTCGTATTCGGCAGCTAGGTACGAGCCCAATATCATTTTCGGAGGCTGGTCGAAGCATTTGTGTGCGGTTATCAGGTCTAGACAAGGGATGGGAAAAGCGTTCTCACGGCGCCCGCGGGATATCTCCTTCAAAAATTTGTCTTGTTCTGATCATGCATCCCAGTAACTTCTGTGAAAATAGGTAGAGGAGCAGTTGAGACTATGAGCATTCTTTTTATAAGTTTCATTTGCAATAGAAATCTGATGCTATTTCTTACCCGGATCTACCTGAAAGCTGAAATAGCAGATCCTGCCAAGTACATCATCTTGTCAACCAACTCTGACTTCTTATCGTACATAAACCAATAACTGAAGCCCAACAGACGAAAGTAAAGTTGGCAACTGTCGCGAAGCAGGAGTACTGCAATTTCAGCCTCAACCTTGAGTATGCTTGGTCGATTAGTATACCCTGAGATATCACTGTCTCTTTGGTCTGATTCGTTGCGTCATAATTGTCCCCACGTAGAGCATCTGCCAGTAAGAGAAGGCTAAACCAAGTCGCAAAGACGATCAGACTTCCCAGGTTCATTGCCGTAGTCCAGGGAGAAAAGTAAAAGCCTCGTAAACATGCGAAGACGACCATGATATAGGACAGGTTCGCTATGGCAGCACAGATGATCATCAGCATGGGATGATAATCCGGTTGCCTGGCATTCGCCGCCTTGTTGAAATCTTGTTGCTCCAGGTCGGGATGTGAATTGGTAATGCTCGAGGGCTGATGAACGATACGAGAGGTGAAGAGCCTAATGGCATCGTGGAAAGCCAGCCGTATAAGTCCAAGCACCCAATAGGTGTGGTTACTTCTCTCCCACCGAACGTACATTAGAAACGCCTTCCAGAAAGTTTCGGGCGCAACTGTATATCCAATCGCGTTGCTTTGGTATTTCAAGCGCCAGCCATCTCGCAAGAGGCCCAACGTAAGTTGAACATCCTCTCCATGCCGCATCACCTGGCCTAGGAACTTGGTTTTCACAAGGGCCTCTGCGTGCGCTAGGATGGCTTCCCGTCGAAAGGCAGATATGGCGCCTGGAAGAATGGTGATGAATCCATACTTTGACTGGGCCGCTCGCGGGATGTTCCCGTTTTGCTCAAAGAGACAGTCCAGGATGCGTGGTATGAAGCTATCCCAACCAGCAGCGTGGATATTGAAGACGGAGAGATGGCCGGCGACGCCTCCGACATCTTTTTCTAGAACCAATGGGCTAACTATGTTTCTGAGAGCGTTTCGCTCTAGAATGGTGTCAGAGTCGAGTGTGACGAGTATCTCGTTTCTGGCTACCGCAAAGGCTGTAAGTATGGCTTGACGTTTTCCGCGGTTGACTTCATGCTGTATGATCGCGTATAGAGCTGGAGGCTCGGACTGGAAAGCTCTTTGAATATGAGTCCACGTGTCGTCTTGTGAGCCATCATCGACGACGATGACATGAATTTTGTCCCTTGGGTAGTCTGATGATAATACAGAGCAAATTGAGTTCTTGACGAAAGCTGATTCATTATACGCTGGTATGATGACGTTAATCGTGGGAAGTTTGTCGTTGTCTTTGACGCCCTGGATGGGCTCGTAGTCTGCCCAGCGAGATATCACAACAAGAAAGTTGAGCAAAAGTATGCAAGAGCTGATTCGTAGAACGATGTCGAAGAGTGCTAGAGCCTCTTTCGCCTTGATAGCAGTGTAATGAGATGCAATGAAGGTGAGAATTATCCCAAAAGCTACTATGCGACCGATAGTGGCCCGAAAACACAAGACGGTCCTCATCCTGCAAAGTTTGAAACTAAGAGATAGAGAGCAAAGATTAGCAGCGTGCTGCCACGGTTGACCTTCATCACCATTTTGTCTTTCACCCTCTCTGGGCCGGCCAACAGCGAGTGACTCTCGTATCTCACGCGGTCCACTCCGTGTTTGCCACCGAGATTGACAAAAGCAGAAAGAGAACCGACGTGCAGCTCGGTTAGGGACAATGAATCATCGTGAGCGCTTAGTCTCCTGCAATGCTACGACATAAATCGGAAACTCTTTCACCGCCCTTTCATTCCAGCTTTTGGATACTTGTGGCGGGAACAACATACTACGTTGCGATGTTCTAGGCCAGGTCTCCCTCAATGGCCGTAGCAAAGCCCCCGGTAGCCATTGACAAAAATCAAACTCTAAACCTAAGGAGTCTAGATTCTCCTCCATTCTGGGGCTAGCACTTTCTGGCTTAAATCCAGACTTTGCCTCATCTGTTCAGCCGAGGATTTCACTTCCTTACTTGTGTGTATGTTTACCAAACGGAAGAAAATGCTCCAACTCATTGTACTACCCACAATCACCAGTCTGGCCCTTTTGGTAGCCAGGGTCAGCAGCCACGGGCTTATGCAACATCCAATTCCGTTCCCTAGCCAACTTGAAACCAATTACCCAGTTGCTAAGGACGGATCAGATTGGCCGTGCAAGGGAGATGTCAATTACGATTGGTCTGGGGTAGCCAATATATGGGAGAGAGGCTCATCTCAATACCTGCAGTATGTCTATGATAAGCACGCGTTTTCCATCAACCCTACTTGAGACGTCATTAATAGTTTAAACAGAACTATGGGAGGCGCTTCACATGGTGGGGGTTCATGCCAAATCTCTGTGACACGGGACCTCAAACCCACCCGAAAAAGCCAATGGAGAGTTATTCATTCCATCGAGGGCGGTTGTCCTATTCGAAACCTGACCGAAATCAATTTTGGAGACTCTCCAACTGTTGTTCTTCCTAGCGTCTACAACTTTACGGTTCCCAATTGGCTCCCCGTCGGACCAGCAGTCATGGCTTGGACTTGGTATGGTAGATGGAGTGTTCCTGAGATGTTCATGAACTGTGCCCCTATTGTCGTCATGGGGTATGATAAGAGCGCAGATATACCTGAAGAGGAACTGAGAGCAAAATTCGATCAAGCGCCCTTGATGTTTGAGGCTAACAATGGCAATGGCTGCTGGACACAGAACAAGGGAAGTTGTGTAAAGTTTCCTAACCCAGGAGATTCTCTTGTGGTCAATCCAGAATGCCCTTTGGACGAGCTACATATGTTCACGGGCCATTGCAGTCCAGAAAGGACTCTGGCCAACCTTTATAGTTGGCCATCAAAATGGGTTGTTGTGATCGGAAGTGCGTTTTTAGTGGGCATGATCTTTACTGGAATGCGTTTCGTCAAAATTTGGCGTGAGAGACAGAAGTATAGGTATTCTAAGACTGCAAATTCGGATGTCTAACATATAGAGGCTTTTAGCAAGTATAATTGCCATGCAAAAACTTTAGCTTTACAAACAATTTTCTTGGACATATGTAAACATGGTCAGAAAAGCCATCAATTATAAACAGAAATAACGAAAGTTTTGGTTCCTAAGCAACGATTATTATCAGATTCTACCTTGTTAGGTTTGCCTTTGGCTTGTAGATCTAAGTCTGGTTCGTGTTAGTCTCACATGCACAACAATTTCCTGAAAATTGTAAAATTGTCATGAGCTAGAGCGCATAGCAGAGCACACAAGAAATGGGGTGAGAGATGCTTGATTCTAGGAAATTCTGAAGAGCCACATAGAGCCTTTATACATACCTAATCCATGAGCTGAAAAGTATGAGTAGGGCACATGATAAGGCTGCTGTTGTAAGCCGTCTGAATGAGGCATGTGATGCGGCTGAGAGCCTCCTTAAAGTGAGGTTTTCGTGACAAAAATTCAGGTTCAAAAGATCTGGACATGTAACAGCTCAACCTTACGCCACCTACCTATCCTCGCCCTCTTTCGTAATCATCTCCTTGATGGCCTGCGCCGCCGCATCCATGACGTCTTGGAAGTATTGCATGTCGCAAAGGGTCGAAAATTCATCCAGCTCATTCATGACACCTTTCTCCGTTGAACAAAATGCATGGATCTTGTCGCGTATCTCGGCATCCAGTTTGTCCCTCATGAGGAGCTCTAGACCAAAGCCAGCTACTTTATGCCTTTGCTTTGCTTGGCAGCAGGATAAATGGCGTGTCTTTATTAACGGTCCTAAGGTTGAGTCTTTTGGCTAATGTGCTTATTATCCGGGGATCTAGGCAGGCAGTTCTTAGAGCGTAATGGTCTGTATACTGTGATAGGCGCTATAAATTAGAGACGGTGGTTTTATAAGTCATTTTGAGGCTGTTGGTATACCCGGGGTGTTAGTCAGCGCCGCGCAGAGCTAAACACCCCCTCCTCACGGAGGGGGCGAAAAAAGGGGGGTTGCAGCAGGAAAAGGGGGGTTACAGCCTGTCCCCACTTTGTCCTGACTTTTGTTATATTCTCACCAAAACAATCAATTATTCAGACATTTCATCGACAGATATCAACACTATTTAAACCAACCATCCTTATCTAACACAGTCAATATGCCCCGCCAATATGACAAGAATATGACTACTGCCAAAAAGGCCGCCGAAGTGGTATTTGCCGCCCAGCAACGGGCTAGCCACTTTGATCGGGCTGGCAAGCAGATATCTGCTATATCTATCCGCAAGGTTGCCCGGCAGTATGGCGTATCTAATACGTCTATTCACCGGCATCTCCAGGCCCTTCGGGCTAGCCATAACCTCCAGGCAAGCCCACCAGCTACCCTTGGCCGGCCCCGGGCATTAACGGACGCCAAAGACGCGGCTCTTACGGCCTTCGTCATATGGCTTGCCGAAGCTGGCTTCCCGGCCTTGCCGATACAGGTCGAGGAAACGGCCAACTACCTCCGTGACCTCCAGGGTATCCGCCCCGTCTCGGAGCACTTTGTCCACACCTGGCTCGCCGACCACCCAGAGCTTCAAAAGAAGTCCACCATTAAGCCGGTTGAGCTATACCGGAAGGGAGCAGAGCTAGATCCGGCCCCAATAAAGGACTTCTTTGCCCAGTACCGGGCAATCGTACAGGAGTATGACCTTAGCCCTTCTGATATCTGGAACGCCAATGAGTCCAGGTGCTGGATCGGCTGCCTTAGTAGCCGGATACACGTGATACTGCTTCAGCAGCCACCAAAATATAACTGCCTGCCAGAGGTTATTGATCCTACAAATCAAGAGTCATGTACGCTTATTGGATATAGTAATACTACTAGCAACAGTATACCAGGATATCTGATCTTTAAAACGTAGCCAGTTACTGCTTAGGCAGATTATCAGGTCCAAGAAGGCATCCGCTTTACGTATTCGTCAACTGGCTTTTCAAACCAAGAGGTTATAATAGACTATATACAGTACTTTAATACTAAGTTATACACAAAATCAGCAAAGTATCACCATATAGGCTACTCACTTAGAGACTATTTTAGCGTTAACGCATACAGCTATTATAACTATAACCTATATCTACCCAATAGGGAGCTAAGCAGAGTACACCAACAATACCATAACTATCAAGATACTATCAAGAAGTCAAAGCAGCCATATCATCTACTTCTATTAAATAAGTTTACTGGCCACATTAGTATAAAGCTTATAAAATATTGCATCAACTTTAATATTATCCTAGGTTTTTTTCCGCCTCATATAACGCACTTCCTTTAGCCAATAGATATTAAGGTCTTCCAGCCATTCAAGAGTACCCAACAAAAGGTACTTCATAACCATATACGAGATAACAACCTTACATTTATAAGGGGCAACTTTGTTGCTGCCCTTGCTAATATAACTAATACTGCCTTCACGGCTACAAATATCATAAGAGGGTTCAAAAAATCAGGTATTTGGCCTATTAAAGACGATATTATATTAGCCCAGTTAGTGAAGAGGATACAGCAAAGCAAGGCTAATATACTATCCCACCTTATATGTTTTTTGCCACATAATAATTACTTTAACAAAACTATACTTACTACTAACTATATAAAAGAGAAATATAACAGCCCATAGAGCACCCCTTCAAAAAAGGGATTCAAGGTAATTAAAAAAGTAATTAATAAGGGAGCTCTTAGCTATAAATACTAACAAAGTTATATTAAAGACTATAACAAAAAGCTAACAACATAGCAACAAAGAAGCCAGGCCTAGCAAGCCATCAAGCCAAGCCACTTATTTATATCAAATGTCACTTTTGATGATATAAAAGAGGCACATAAGAAGCAAGTAACTAAGGCTATATAAGCAGAGTAATAGCAGCAGTAAGCAGCAGTTAAGAGGATAGCTTACAGCCAAGAAAAAGAGGTCTGCTAATAATATAGTGCTTTAAAGTATCAGATAGTGGATAGGCAAATGAGGCAACTAACCTTTAAATAATAGCTATACTATACTAAAGAAGTTAATACTTATATTCCGTTTAATACCTCAGATCCTTGTTAGCATAATAAGCCAAAGGAAAAATTCACTATTAACGTCAACCTTACCCCTTTACTACAGTATATACTCAATCAATTCAAGTATATAACAAGGCCCCTTAGTCAAGGCAATATTAACCAAGCATTAGCTAATGCTACTATAGAGGCAGCTAAGCTAGACTTTAATCCTGAGATATTTGTAGATATAGATAATCCTATTGATAAAGACGTTAATAAGGCTATATTTAGCAAAGAATTAGTTAGTACAGCTAGGGATGAAGATGATGACCTTGAAATAGCATTAGTGCCATTACTACCAGCAACACTAACGCTAACAACAACATCACAAGCATTATCACAATATAAGTCATAATACTATATAATCAAAGATAGTATAAATACCTAGCAAAGTAAGGGCATAATAGAGGATAACCCACTTACTTCCCTATTAACGCAGGTTAAAAAGAAACAATAATATATAGTTAATAATAATACTAGTAATAGTACTATTATAGTAGTAGTTTAAATTTTTAATTATTATGTAAAAAGGGAAAAAAAAGTACCTTCTTAAAGCCCTAGATTAGGGCTATTAATTAATACTACTCTTATTATTGCAAAACGTTGTAGTTACTATGACCTTTTGAATTAAAAAGTAGAGGTTTTTGTGTATAATAGGCAAAAGTGATGCTATTCGTGATGCGAGGTATAACCCCCCTTTTGCTGCTGTAACCCCCCTTTTTTCGCCCCTTACGTGAGTAAGGGGTTTTTAGCGCAGCAGCCTGATGACTAAAACCCCTGGGTACTACGCGTTTTGAAACAGAATTATTGGAGTTTATCAGCAATGGTGTGAAAGCCTAGCTTGCAGTCAGGCTTTTGTACACGTGTAGCTGCATTAAGCTTTTGTGTAAGGTTTCTAAAAGACATGGACTAAAGCTGTTAATGAACCTTAGTATTAGGTTCAATAAATCAAAGCCATTACCAGCACGTTAGTCATACTATCATTCAGTGTGACTCAAGCTGCAAGGTTTTCACGACCTTAGTAGTAGTTTAAATGAACTGTACTAGACCGCTTGTAGGGGCTAGAATAACAACTTACACTAAATTCGGGATCGAATCTTTACTCAAGGTGCCATAAAATTTGGCTGCGGGTAAACGAATCGGCTGATGTTGCAATCGTCCTGCGGAAGAGCCATCGTGCAAAGAGTACTGCAGATTGACTGTTCGTGTTGAAAGCGCGATGATCAGTGTTGATGAGTTGCCTCAGTTCAATCTAGAAGGAAGGCTCATGGTTGACTGATCCTCCCAGTTCTCACAGTTCTAATGCTGTCTTGTGTACGGATTCCACCACCCGCACCTACCAAGAGTGTGTCCATGCCATTGACCAAAGAAACCTATTGAGGCCTTTGATGAGGACGAAGATTCAGAAGACCAATGAATCGATATTGATGTAATCGACAGCACTCAACATGAGTGAAGCTGTTGGGGTTCCACACATGATAGGTATTTGTCCATTCAAGCTCTTTCACTGAAAGCTATACAAAATAGGTTTAATGTTAGTTGGGACTTGGTTTGCTTCATTACGAAAATTCGATGGACAACTTGGTACATAGAGCAGATAACTAGCCCGCTCTACGTGTTTGACTTTTATACCTGACTCGTTACAGTCTCGATAGAACAATGCACCAAACCAAATTAAGCGACGTTACATCCACAACTTGTTTGGGATTTCTCGTTGATTCAGGCAGCCAACTGAAGAAAAAACGTGGCCCTCGGCGACGTAATTAACAGTCGAGTTCAAGTCGAATCGAGATACATCAACGGCTATCTATGAGTGCGGCATATATCGTTAGCCTTTGCTTCATTTAATCAGATCTCTCACGCCGTCTTACGCTTTCCCACGCAAAAATCTGCCGCAGTCTTGGAATACGCTGTCTTTAGTGACTCCATGGTCATTGCCTGCGACTTTCCCTCGTAAACAGTCATTGCCATGTCATCGTTGACATGCTAACTTCACTCACTATCGAACGCAACAGGCGGAAGTTTGAAGCTGTTAGCGCCGGTAGGCCTGCTCACTCTGTTCGATGGCGAGTACACTTGATCATTACGCCCTCGTTGTCAAGTCACAGCTTATGAGGTAGAAAAGAAGCGGGCTTTTGAGGAACGCTGAAGGATGAGCAGCGAAATGAGACCGTTCATCGCCCAGCTTCATTATAGTCGATCACAACGATCGGAAAAAGTGGCCAGAGTCCATCAACAGCCGCTCGGCAGACAAGGCATGCCGTCGTATGCTAGTGGACTGGAACATATGAGGGCTGTCTTGAAGCTCCGTTGTGTTCTAAGTCTGAATACTAATAAACATAAACTGTTGTAGAACATTTTGATGTTGGCTACTTCTCCACACTCGGACTTACCGCGCATGTAGTAAAGTCTATCGGTGACTGATGAGTTGCTTCTGTGCCGAAAGGCCAGGACTACTTGTGGTCTTGATAACCAATAGATATCCAAGATACCACTATTCTTCACGTCGCGGTGACTCTTCTACCAGACGTCCAAGACGAGCGCATCTTTGCGTTCGCAGAGCCGTGCGACTGGAACAGAGTGCTCTCTGTCTTTCGCAAGCAAAATCCTGACCATCGTCTCGCCAAGGATTTCGACAACAGCGTGGAACCGCATACTATTAAGCCCAGAGAAAGAGCAGAGCGATGGCTGAAAATGATGGGTGTTCGAGGATAGACTTTTTTGGGCGACAGTCTTCTAAGAACACGGAACATTTACGCCGAATTATAGCCTAATGTGGTTTTCAAAGGATGTGAGCATGTTCTCAGTCGTGGAATTGCCTCAGGTAGTCTACAATAGTACAAGACTTGGCCGCAATTGGCCCCGACGCTGCTCTCACAATGTCCACCTAACGGAGGGTGACACAACTCCACGTCGCGTTCTGCTCTAGGTATATATCATCTTCACGTAGCCTGAAAGTCTAGGCTTGCCCATTTCAGATACTCAAACAAAACTTAGGCAGCTTCACGAGCCGAAAACTTGCGGCTATGTGAATCGATCTCATGGGGAATAGATGTCAGCTTTTGGCGCCTGGTTGTGTGTGCATGTGGCTGAACCACCGCTTCGCGCAAGAACCTAATTCTGTTCAATACAATAGACTGAGATTGGGCCACAGAAATGGTTTATAAGGGAATGCAGTCTTTGTGACGTAGATGCCTAGCCCAGGCAGGCGAGAACATTTGCCGAAAGGAAGACACGGTTTAGTATCTACAACGACACTGTTGAGACAACCACGGGCTGAATCGACTGCTTGATAGGCTTAGGCGGTAATTACACAATCATGACAGTAACCACTTCTCCCGCTTGGCATCCGACCCGGGTCCGAGCCCGATGCGCCCCACTCACCGGGCCGGCAACCTAGATGAAGAGACGTCAAAAGACCATGAGAAGAAACCGCATGTATTTCAACGTTGGGATTGCGATCGCTCACCATTTATTATCTGCGGAATGCAAGTTTCTGGTGGAAAAAACCAACTTTTTTTTTTTTTTTTTTCATTTTCTAAGTCAACTACCAATGCAGCCTCAGTACTCCAATATCCCTACTCCGCCTACTCCAACTTCACTTCGCCCAGTATCCCTCCACCTTGGGAAAGTCCACTTTAATCAAAGAGACCTGCCGGGAAGACACCGGCTGCTGAAAGCTAATGGGTCACTCGTCTCGAGACGCATGCCAGAAGGAGTAACCGCCCAGGGACAGCACCCAACCTCGAGTGCAGCCGAAGTTAAGCCTTGGGCTGCATGGATATGCAACATCTGCAGCACATCAAGATCC